ACTCATTACCAACTATGGTACTTCAAAGACACCATAAACACATACAAAAGAAGTCCTACGGACGGTGCCAATGGGGAAAGCTTCATCCGCCAGGTTGTACACGTAAAAGGGCACCCAAACGCGCATTTGGAACGGATCTCACGAAGTCAGTCAATAATGGCATTTCTAGCGCTATTTTAGGAGGCTCAAAGACCCATTATGAGTGCTCAAAATGCCAAGTTTGGATATGTATCGAAGGAGACTGCTGGGTACAGTATCACCACTCAATTGGAGTCAATTGCTAGATTAATACGGCCTCAATTCGCTCAAATAGGGTGTTTGTTGACAATTTGGACCCCCTCTGCAGTGATCGACAGCGCTAATTGAGGCATTCTACACCCCTGTTCGGGTACGGAGGGGATAGATTTCTACTAAGTACATTGCTTAGATTATAGTAATATCGTCCTTAAACTTTACCACGGGCAAATCATTAACCATGTCCTGCCAGCTCTCATACTTTCCTATTTCCCATTCCTCAATTGTTAAAGTCAAATTCCCAATTCTCTCCCAGCGTCTTTCAACCCTATCCACTCGTTTCAAAATTAAAAACCTCGCCCTTCCATCCCACACAAATGGCACCGTGCTTGCAAACATCAGTACTGTTACCATATCGCCAGATCTGTGACCTCTCGTCAACTCTTCTTCCGTGAATGGAGTAGAAAGGCGCAGAGTCGCAAGCTTCCCCATCAAGCGTTTCCATTCCCAGTCATTACTCGAGTGCATCAAGTGCATGTGTTTCAACACCCATGGTTTTGTTATTGTTAAAAGCCACTTCTTGCTGTGATCAGCGAAATCCTCGATCGATACAGATCCCTAGAGAAGGGTTGAGTCCTTTCCATCCTCAGAGTGGAGGATAATCTCACCATACCATATGAAATTGATGCTCTTAACTCATTCAGTCTTCATCATCGCCGTGAAGAAGTCAATGTGGAAGTTATCACCACCAGAGTCATCTTCATCCACCTCATGCGGTTCATTGTAATCGTTGTTATCGCCATTGAAATCCACACGACCTTCCCATCCGATCCAGCTCCAGGATGGGAATTGAGATCGGCGGTGGCGACTCGCAACGAAGAGTTCTGACTTATCTTCGATGGGTTTTCCAAGATGGAACCAGATTGATATTGAGAGGGCAAATGTGTGCTGTAGCCCGGGTTGACCATCTGCAAATGGACCAGCCCAGACAGGAATTCCAAGCATCAAAGACAAGCCATCTTTCTTGGAAATGCTTGAGGATACTCCGAGGAAAGCATTCAGGGAATCCCCAGGATCTGTAAGATTTCTCGATGTAAAACCCCGAATATGTCCATTTATGGTTTCGATCTCCTTGGCCAGGTTGTTTGTATCTTCGGGTTGGAATCCGTATTGAAGCTCGGGAACCCGATGCATATCACCGCGAAAGATGCCCGACAGCATGTAATCTGCAAAGTGGTAGTAGTTGGCATTTTTGGACGGTAAATGCAGACTTGGAAGTGGAAGTCTTATCGACTCATTCACAGCCATGCAACGACATTCCCAGTACATTTGCTCTCCGGTGAACACCAGGCATCGATTTGAGAGAACACCTTCTTGATATGTCCATCTTCGCTGTGGCCTGACTCAACCGACTTTCCCTTCGAAATTTCTAGTTCAACTGTATGTTGAGACGCTCGTGGTGTCTTCCCAACCCCAGGCAATCCCGTTCGAGCATCTCCTGCTACATTCACAATAGTGAACTCTGCACCTTCATAGATCGCATCCATTTTGGAGACCAGAAACATCTTCTCCTCCAAATCCGATTGATTGATGCAAACCCGATCAACCCAGAGATACTTCTCCCCAAGCACCCTAGTTGCAGCAACAGCGTCCCTTACAGTCTGAGGCCATTTCTCTGTTGAGGGACCCCATACATAGCTCAGTGCGACGTATTTCTCTCTCCATGACAGTTCCTCGACTCTAATGGGCCTTGCGATGCAATTAATAGCTCTGAATCCACGAATTTTTTGCCCCTCTGGCTTTCTAGGGCCACAACATAGTTTGTGTGAATTCCGACAAGTATACAGCCAGTAGCCAGCCTGCACGAGATCGGCCTTTGGTTCCAGTTCCTTGGGCAAAACAAGTCGCATGCACTCTTCTTCCCTCAGGTCTTTCGTCAGACGATAAATAGATCCTTTCTGGGGCAGTGCTGTCTCCAACCAGCGAAGTGGAACTCCAGTTCGAAGAATCCCTTCAACCTCTGGGTTTTACCCGAGTTAGTGCCAAGCTACTATTTCAGTCAATCAAAAGCCTAGAATCCCGCTTAGTAATAATATTCTTTCGTTCCATCAGGGGGTGTCAAAACTCATGCAACAGTATTTGCGCCGAAATTTAGCCAAAATAGATAATGTACTACTTTTATAAACTCATCACTATTATCAATAATAACGATCTAATAGTCTCTCCATCTGAATTTGCTAAGGTTCTGCATTAAGAGAGCATATTAGTGATACAAACTTGAACTTTCTATAAAATAATATTAACTTATTTCTTCTATAAGATCTCGTTAAGCTATTTAAGATTATCTCATCTTCTCCTTAATTCGCTATTTAAGAATACTTTAAATAGCTTTTATAGAATTTAAATTAGACGGTTAAGTAAAACTAGGAGTAACCTGTTATGACTGCCCAGCCTTGCGTACAGTATAAGGGCCAAGAGAACTCTAATAGATCATTCTCTTGTTTGATAGCTGCCTTGTTTGATAGCTGCCTTGTTTGATAGCTGCCTTGTTTGGCAGCTATCTAATAGAATTATTGTAATGATTTGCATGCAAATATAGTACAAGTTATTATGAGCAATCATGATTGATCAAGAGCAATTAGGATTCCTACTTCAATAGAATTAATCTCAATAATTTGTATGCAAATGTAATGCAAATTGTTGTGAGCAATCATGAGCACTCAGGAAGACTCATTGTACTGTTAGTACTAGTGGTATTAGTGGCGTGCGCTATCAGGGTCCGGCTGCGGGTAAAGTACACCTCCATGTGCACCCTCGTTGGTTTTTGCTGTCTGACTTAACTTAGGAATTAGTCACCCGGCTCAACTACGGCTCAGCCTCTACTTCGGCCGTACCGTCATTACTCCCGCTGCTCACTCTCTTGCTCACCTTCTATTTTAATGCTGCTTAAGGGACTCAGTCTTGTACGTTTTGGAATCAGGAAAATTGGCTCTCTTGAAGTGGGGTAATACTTAAAAGTATTTTGTACTGAAAATATGTGGTGCTCTTCATATCAAGGCGGCAGCAAGATCATTATATTAAATCAAAGGAACGCCATTCTCAATAAGGCACGTGTCTCATTCAGTGACACAGGGGATATGTGTATGCAGTGTACACAGCTGGGGTACGCACGTGGTGCACCATTACAGTTCACTAGACGCAGTCTATACTGCTTTTGGAGATAGCTGAAACTGGAAAAAGCCACCTACAAGGGCCTGTATCGGCTATTTTGAAGCTACGCCGCATGAGGGCAGCGGCCTTGCAAATGCCCCACAGAAAAGCGGTGCAAAACAGCTCTATTAACATGACGCGAACAAGTAACAGAAGCTACTTAACCGAACGCCAGCCGCCGAGCTCATGTGACAACGCCACAACACGGCTTGCTCGTACATACTTCCAACATTGTCGCCCCCACGAGAAGCAGGAGGTAACTTACGTAGTATAGGGGTGTGCTTTACCCGCAGCCGGACCCTCATTAGTGTGCATTAAGGTGCGATAATTTATATTTGGCTCTGTATCATCTTGGTATTCGAAAACCTTATAATAAGTTTTCCTGAACGAGCATGAGGGATTAGGAGTAATTAGTTTCATCTAGATCTCGATTTCAATAGCATTCTTCTTAGCAATTTGTATGCAAATGCAGTACAAACTGTTATGATCAATCATGAGCTCAGGAAAACTTATTGTGCTGTTATTACTAGTGGTATAAGTGGCGTACGCTATGAAGGTCTGGCTGCGGGTAAAATACACCTTCGTCTTCATCCTCCGAGAAGCAGGCCTTCGGGCCTATCAAATGGTACTGGAAGCTTGAAATGGCCATCAGTGGCGAAAGGAGGCTGTTGACCGTCTCGAAGTCATTATTATATTAGCCTTCATAATCCTCTCGGTCATCTGCGCTCCCTCAAAAAAGCAGCATACGCCCCTCGACCCAATCTTTGCTATTGAGCTGTAGTAGGGCACACATACTAGTACCACCGTTCTCCTGAGCCACTTCCCGGGTCTTGGGTTTGCGAATACTGACTACGGATGTATTTACAATGAAGCCCCTGCTCTGCGTAGTCGTTTTCTTCGCTCTTGCGTTAGCTGATATTTCATCTGATCTCAATAACTTGATCCGGTCCCCTAACGCCTCGTCGCCCTCTGCCTACTTCATCCCAGAACAGATCATCTTCTCTCGGGGCAGACACGCTGTCTGCGCTTCTGGCAAAATCCAGGTACCCATCACTGCTCAGAATATCAGATTTACCACCCAAGTTCCTCCGAGCCAGTTTGCCGTGACCGCGATTGTTCAAGAGATCCTGCAATATGATGCCTCCCTCATCCAAAAAAGCATTGCAGGGACTCAAATCGTGCAAGGCACATACGGCATTTTCGCCAAACTCTGCTATCCTGCTCAATTCGCCTCTGCTGCTCAGGTCAAAAGCATTCAGATCCTGACGCACGGCTCCGGTCTCGAGAAAAGCTACTGGGATATCGCGTCCCCAAACAACAGCTACGTCGATGCAGCGGCAAAGGCCGGCTACGCGACCCTCGCGTACGATCGCCTTGGCGCCGGACAATCAGATCGCCCGGATCCAATCAATGTCATCCAGTCCGCCGTGCAGGTCGAAATCCTCGAGGCCCTCATCCAGGGTGTGCGAACAGGCACGCTCGGCATCCAGAAATTCAACACCGTCATCTGCGCCGGCCACAGCTACGGCCAGATCATCCAGACGGGCCATGACGCAAAGTACCCCGCCAGCTGCTCCGCCGTGCTCGCGACCGGCATCTCGGACACGACTCAGTATCTGGTGCCAGAAACCTTTGCGTTGAATCCCACTATCGCGAGCCAAGCAGACCCAGCCAGATTCGGCAGCCTCAACAACGCCTTCTTGATAAACCCTACGCCTGTTTCCGTCCATCTCCCCTTCTTCCGCTACCCTTACTTCGACCCGGCCGTCTTTCAGAAAGTTTTCGACACTCGCTCCACCTACACTATTGGCGAGATCTTCACAGCGATTGCCATCCTTAGCCCTGCGCCTGCCTTCACCGGCCCTGTGGCTGTCATCAACGGGCAGTTTGATATCCCTTTCTGTGGTGGCGATTGTGCCCAGAGGCCGTCGGCGTATCGGGCTACGTTCTATCCGGCGGCCGTGAACAGTACGGCGCAAGTGATCCCAAACACGGGCCACGTAATCAATGGGCACATTACGGCGCCTCAGGCTTTCAGTCAGCTCCTCGAATTCTTAAAAAAGAACAATTTGTGATTGCATTTACGCTTCGTGGCAGGTGTACGTACAGGAATGAGGCATTTGCGATAGAATCAATTCATTACTCATGGCATAATTAGTAAGCCATACCGCGAATGTCTAGATGTCAGATTAGCTTCCTGTAAAATACTACTTATAATGCTACAGCTGAGCAAATGACCGTCACTCCAAGGTCTGCGGCGGCTTGATCTCTTTCCTGAACGCGCTCTTTGCGGCAGCAATGGCTCCCAGCTCCACGATTGTTGCATTCCCAAGCAACTGAATCACAGAGACCTCGGCACCTAACTCTTTCTGCAACCAATTCTTCAAATCAATCGCGACCAGCGAGTCAATGCCGTACGCATGCACCGGTTTCGACGTCTCAATGTCCGCCTCCGCAAGCCCAAGCACATGTGCCACCTTTGCCGCGAACCATGCCGTCGTGAGGCGCTCCGCTTCTTCGTTGCTGGCGCTGTCGCGCAGTGCCGCCGCACGGTCGATCGTGCTGCTCCCGCCTCTGCTCTGGGGCGCTGTGCCCCCGCTGTGCGCGCCCATTCGGAACAGGTGCCTCGATATCGGCCGCCGTATGGAATGGTGGAGATCGATGCCTTTCGCCAGCACGGCCGAAGGCAGCTCCGCCCCGACGAGGACTTGCACGTCGTCCGGTGGGAGCAGCGGCAGGCTCGGATCGCAGTAGTAATCGAGAAGCGCGATCAGATCTTCTTGCCGGATGTCTTTGAGGTATCCTACGCGCCGCAGGGACGCGAGCATGGCCTCGTTTTCCGCCACAATGCCTTCAGCGACCATAAGGCCTAGGTCAATAGAAACGGCTTTTTGGCCATGCGCAATCCGGTGGTGCGCCAGCGCGTCGCCAAAGATGCCGTTGAGGCTGGCGATGATGACGAAAAAGTCGAGCCGCGGGGGCAGCGCGTGGTGCAGGTTCCAGGAGCCAAGGGCTTTGGAGTCGAGCCCAACTTTCCAGTCGTCGTAGGTCATGTTCTCGAAGGTCGCATCGCGCAGGGCGACGGTGGCCTGGATGCATCCTCGCACGGGAGGCATCGTCCTCGACACCTCGCCCATCACCTGGAGCAGCATGTTTAGGTTCGTGACGTCGCAGGCTGGTGTTGCGACGGTAATGTCTCTGGCGCGAAGCTCTACAACTAGCTTTTCTGCGGGCTTGGTCTTGATGCCGTTGCGGGAAAGCAAGACTAGGTGCCGTGCCCCTCGGTCGGCCATCCATCGTGCAAAGCTTCGACCTAAGCCGCCTAAGCCACCGGCAATGATAAAGGTACTGTCTGAATCAAAGCAGTATTTGGGCTTGTTCGGAACGTAGGCCTGCACTGTGTCATTTGGTGCGAATTCAACGACCACTGGACCAACTGCATCCTTCTGTTCAAAGTGACGAAAAGCGCTCTCTATCTCTCCAGCTTGGAAAATGTGCAACGGCTGAGGTGCCTCAATCGCGCACTCAGAGGCCAGCCTCACAGCCTTCTGGAATGTCTTGTATGAAGCGATCGGCTTATACTTCAAGTGCTCAGTCAGGTCAATGCTTGCCTGCGTGATATTCCTGGGCATGCTCATGGAGGGCGCAGAGGATCCGCTGTTCGGTTTCTTGGCTTCAATGTCAATCAGGCGGCCGAAAGCGGCGAGACATTGCGCATAATCGCTCATCGAATCGCTTGACAGATTGCCCATGAAGATGTCGACGCCCTTCCCATGAGTTTTACTATGGACTTCACTAGGCAAAACACTGTCAGCACAAGACAGAATAGATGACGTTGCAATGTGGAAACTGTCTCGTAAAAGCGTCGTGCTGACCTGTGACTGTGCTGTCACGAGGATTGCGGCGCCAACCCTGCGGGCCATTTGAATGGCGACCTGACCAATGCTGGTAGCGGCATCATAAATCAAAACGGTGTCGCCCTCCTCGATCCTACCAATATCGAAGAGAGCGTGATAAGCCGTCCAGATCGCGCTAGGCATGGACGCTGCCTCATGGAAACTCATGTTCTCTTGTATACGAACGACGGCGCTTGCCTTGCTTCTGATAAGCGTGCGACTGGTGCGAATGCCGATGCAGGTGACTCGATCTCCAGGTTGAAAGGAGCACGCTTTACCCGCCGCTTGTACGACACCTGCGCACTCCGTGCCAAGATCTGGTTCGTCGAGATGCCCAGTGGCACTGAGGTAGCTGCGTATTGTTAGTCCGAATGCTCTGACTTCAATCAGAACCTCGTCGTCTCCAAGGGGTGGCATCTGTGTATCGTCCTCGCAGTACCCGAGCATGTGTAATGCTGCCGGAGCAGCCATACGGAGCTCTAGTTGCGCAGTGCCGTCAAGTCGACGTTCCTCGATTCGTTGGATGGAGGTCTTCTGTGCAATCATGACGTTGATGTCGTGATATTCTGTAATACGGTTGATATGCGGAACGCAGTTTCTCACAACGATGTGATTCTCAAGGTTCTCTACAGGTGAATATTGACGGGCTAAAGCGTCAGCGATGCGCTCAGTCGCACCCTCTCCGTCCTCAGACTCATCTTGTAAGGTAAGTGTCGTAAATTTGCGGGTAGAATCTTCCGACGCAAGTGCGCGAGCCAATCCATCTACGACGCCATGCCGTGGGTCGGGCTCTCCTGAAGCTGATCGGACAACCCATAGGGTGTCTCTGAATCTGATTAGGATTGACTGGACATTCTTGTACTCAGTCGCCGTCATATCGTAGAGCAGGACTGCATCGACTTCGACGAGAAACAAAGCTGGCCCAGATGGCGGCGTTTCGTCGGCAGCAAGCTCAGCCAACGTGTAAACCTTACACGAAGCCAGGCGCTGCTGAAGAGATCGTGCCAGAGTACGCTGGGCCTCAACTTCTGGATTGACCACGACAGCGATTTGTCCCTCGTGATGCTCGCCGCCGTTTGTGAGGTCGACCGCAGTAGATACTATGATGCTACTGTATTGACACTCTGCCTCTTTCTGGCCCAGGAACTCCATGTCGACCCCGGAAAAGCCCGAGCTCCGGAGACGCTCGTCCCAGGTTACAGCACTGACACAGGGGCTGTATTCGGCACGATCCTCATGGCCGAGCGGACTCCACCATCCACGCAGCAGGCCGAAGGCAAAGCCGACCAACAGGTATTCCGGCCGTGTTGTCTCGAACAGCAGTAGCTTTCCACCAGGCTTGAGCAGCTTCCTCACGTGGCGCAAAGATACTTCTAGAGTCTTAGTCGCGTGGATGACGTGCGATGCGATGATAAGGTCATAGCTGGCGGCCTCGAACCCTTGCCCCACGGGGTCTTTCTCGACGTCGAAAGTTTTGAATCTCATCAGATGTTCGTACTCGGCGAACTTCGTCCTCGCTGGGCCGAAGAAACCAGCCGAGATGTCGGTGTAGTCATAACGCCTGAAGCACTTGGCATCTCGCGACGATAGGGCTTGGAGACAAGCTAGCGTCTGCCCACCGGTACCAGCGCCGACCTCAAGGATGTTCATTGAAGGGTCTTTGAACGAAAGGAGGTTCAAGTATGCCCTTGAAGGATGTGAGTGATAGGGATTACTGAGCATTGTCTCATAAAATTGATCAGCGAGCCCGTCCCTGAAGAGAAGGTCCAGTGGATCGACCTCTTGGCGCAGGATCGGGATGAGGTTGCGTCCTATCACCATCATCAATTTGCCTTCGCTGTCCGTGTGCTCGATATCGTTGATGAGCTGCGCACGCTCTGGAGAAGACCCGAGGAGATGCCGCACCTCGCTTTCACGGAAAGGAAATCGTCCGCTCCGCACGCGTTCCTGCTGGTATTTCATCCATTCGATGTACGACCTGAGGTGCTGTGGCAGCGACAACGATGGCTGAGCGTCCGTGTAAGCCAGAGCCTCGTAGATGAAGGTGGAAGCGGCAAGCGTCATCGAGCGATAGAATGCTACCTGGTTGCTCGGGCCGTTGGGTCGTTCCCGGGTGCATTCGGCCTGGATCTGCTGGTTGCTCATTCTCGATATGTCAGGCCTCCAAGTCAGGCGCATGCAGAGATTCGGGTCTGCATAGCGAGATGCTGCCATGCTGGAGTCAAAGCCACCGATGAAGGTTGCCTCCATGCCCTGAAGCCAGAAGAGAGGATTCCGCAAGTCAAGCTTTGTTGCTATGATATCAGCTCCAGCCTTACGGTACCCTTGGAGCCAGCTCTTGGTCATGGTGCTAATACGTCCGTCATTCAGAATCTCTTTGTGTTGACAATCTATCCAGAGATTGGATATCCGAGATGGTACCATGGTGGCAAAGTCTTGTCGTCCTCGACTAAGCGCCAGAGTCAGAAGCTGCATGCTCGCATCGAGGACCGTCGGGTGGACCGGATGAAGCGTAACCGAAGAGCTTGAGGCGGTTTTTCTCCATTGGCCGGCCTTGATCTCGGCTGCTGCCTCGCCCTGCTGCCCAAGGCGCAGCTTATCCAACACCTGAAAGCAAGGTCCGTACTGGACTCCTTCCGAGGTGGCCGCGTCGTAAATGGCTTGAACGTCGAGGTCATCCATGCAGTTGCCATTTATGGATCGAACCCAATCCTCAAAAGTTTCTCCGCCCTTCAAGGCAGGCATCGGAAAGCCGGCGCCTTGCATGTTGTCGACCTTACATCCGCGAATAGCGCCAGAGCAGCACTCGATGAAGTTCTCATTATCATCGATGACAAAAACCCTAAACTTTGACCAGGTGGAGCAACGATCAGCATTGGGAGGCGGAAGAGACAGCTCAAGTCGTGTCTCAACTCTGTCGGCTCCAGGGGGGAACTCAATCGGATGGATGAAAGCCACATTTCGTATCTGGCAACCTTGCAAGAGTGCGTCGTCATCAAAGCTCTGTTTGAATGCTTCGATCGCCATCACAAGTGAACCACTGGCAGGAAAGATGCGTTCACCTTGAATCCGGTGATCTTCTATCCATGGCAGCTCGCTTGTTCTCATGATGTTTCGCCATTGTGGAGTGTGCGGATTCCCTACGATAACCATGTAAGTTTGCTTCCTTCCGATCTCGACGGGCCGCCCCAGCCAACTCCGGCGAGACAAAATGTTTGGGGCAAGAGAGTAGGATATAGGGAGGTTGTTGACTTACCATCGGGTATTTGGGTCCCCAAGATATCGTTACGTGCATGTTTAGGGTATCTGACTTTCTTGCTGAGGCGGCTTTCTTCCCAGTAGATTTGCTTATGGTTGAAAGGATACTTTGGCAGGTTCACCGCTCTCTTTGTCGGCCTGCTTTCGAGTTGGTTGACTTTAGCAATCTCGACTGGTACTCCTGCGCAGTGGAGAGTACCTGCCATCTTCAGCACAGCGACAGCAGCATCCTCGCCTCGAATAAGCGATGGAGTGTATGCTATCTTTTTCGTGCTTGCAAAAGCATTCGTGATATCACGAATCGGCCCTCTCAGCGTAGAGTGAGGGCCAATTTCTAGAGCGTCTGTAATCTGGAAAGTGTCCTGGTTCTTCTTACCCAATTTCTTGCGCGCTTTCTTGTTGGATTGCGCCAAAAGCCGCGAAAACGCCGTATCGAACTGAACCGTCGAAACCATATTGCGGACCCAATATTGTGGATCCTGGAGGGTCTCATGGAGGACAATGTCCCCGGTCAAGGAGGATAGCAACGGGACGGACTCACCCTGGAGGGGATACTCAAGTGTACCAATGGCCGTGGCATAGTCGTCAGCCACCGTCTGCATAAATGGAGAGTGATAAGCGACTGGAGTCCGAAGCTGCCTTGTGAAGACAGCGTCGGCTCTCAACCAATTCTCAAGTAGGTTGAGTTGCTTCGCTCTTCCGCTCAATGTCACACTCTTCGGACTATTGATACAGGCAACAGTGACCTCCACTTTTGTGTAGGACGCCTGCAGTCGCTGAATGTACCGCAGTATCTCCTCGCTTGAAAGACCAACAGCCATCATGCCAAGTTCTCCACAGTCGCGCGCAACGCTTGACGATACTTGACCTCGCTGGTACGCGACATTGACGGCAGCATACCGTGAGAGTGCCCCGGCAGCATAAGCTGCAGCGATCTCTCCTGAAGAATGGCCCAGGACCACTGATGGAATAATTCCAAAAGACCTAAAGAGATCAACCAAAGCAATCTGCATGCAGGTCGTTAGCGGCTGTGCGTATTCTGGCTTGTCGATCGAACCGTCTTTCGCAGCTTCTGTGACGAAATCATGAACAGACCATGAGCAGCCGTGAGCTCTGAGACATCCGTCGAGATCCATCAAGCTATCATGAAAGACATGATATTTCAGAAGTTGACGACCCATGCCTTGATATTGAGCTCCTTGTCCGGTGAAGATAAAAGCTATGCGTCGACTTTCGGTGGCTCTGATAGGCTCTGAGATTGAATAACAGGTATTGGAGACATCACTGTGCTGGTCGAAGACGGCATGGCACCTCCATGGGAAGAGCGTTCGTCGCTGTGACACGGTGTAGAAGACATCATCGTGCATTTCGGTGTTGCTGTCTTGACGCTCTACATACAGTTTCGCTAATCGCGTTGCACCTTCTCTGTCGAATGCAGACCACACAAGTAATCTTGGGTGTGACGGAGGAGTTCGAGACATTGACAGCTTGTCTATCGCTGTGTGATCGATGGACTCTCCTTTTGCGGAGGAGATGAGCCTCATGTCGGAGGAGTTCCGTCTTTCATTGGTGCTAGTTGAGTTCAGCAGTGGAGTGGAGACGCCATTCACAGCTTGATGCTGCCTATGGATCGGGTCGTGAACTTTGTAGAACTCCAAATGAGAGTTGACATCGTCTAAAATGGCCGCGGCATTTGTGCCACCGAATCCAAAGGAATTTACGCAGGCTCGACGAAGGCCTCCCACTGGCCATGGAATACCGACACGCAGAAAGTGCAAGTGCCGTTTTTCAGGTTCTATCTTCTTGTTCAGAGTGTTCAGACCCGCGATTGGTGGGATGAAGCCCTTCTCAAGAACCAACATGGTCTTGATAATCCCCGCAAGACCGCTACACCCCTCTAGGTGACCTATGTTAGCTTTCACAGCACCAACATATAGCGGATCATCTGCAGTCCGACAGTGAGCAAAGCTGCGACCTATCGCACTAGCTTCCTTCGGATCTCCAACTGGGGTGCCAGTGCCATGTGCTTCAAAGTACCTGGTAGGCTCCATTGAGAGGCCCGCTTTTCGGTAGGTACTTGTAATGAGGTCAACCTGAGCGTCTTCATTAGGGACGGTGATACCCGGCGTTCTCCCGTCTTGATTCAAACCGGTGTTGCGAATCACTGCTCTGACATTGTCGCCGTTTTTTATAGCGTCAGGAAGACGCTTCAACACGAGCACGGCACAGCCTTCACCTCGCGCATAGCCGTTCGCGCGTTCGTCGAAACTCCAGCAACGACTGTCTGGAGAAAGGAAGTTGAGATTGGACAAGAATCTCATAAAATCAGGATGGTACATATAGTTTGCGCCACCAACGAGCGCCTATAGCTTACTATTAGCTGTTGCTACTTCGCATCATGTTTTCGGATGCGCATTAACAACGCTCACCATTGACGCGGTTTCGTTCCAAAGATCCTGACAAGCAAAATGCAACGCGGACAAGCTGCTCGAGCATGCCGAGTCCAAGTTGACTGAAGCACCTTTGAAATTGAAGAACCAGCTCAAGCGGTTTGCTAACATCGAGAACGCGATACCTGTGGCTGCATGTGTATGCTGCGATTCGAAGTCTTGCTGCATCACACTTCGGTAATCATCTGTGAAGCTACCAGTATATACTGAGGTTTGGGAGCCTGAGCAAGCCTGTAAAGGAATACCAGCTTCGGATATACTCGTAAGTTACAAATCCTCGTTCACTGGACTTAAAGCAACATACCATCTTCAAGAGCGTGGTAAGCGACTTCCAGCATCTTCCTGTGCTGTGGATCCATGCATGCCGCTTCCACCGGCAATATCGAGAAGAACGGTGCATCGAATGCGCCGAGAGGTTCTGTGACGAAGCAGCCGCCGCGAGCAGCTACCTAACTTGAGATTAATATACAAACACCGTGTTTGACCATCACACCCGTATGCGCTCACTGTACTATTTCTCGAGCGGTCCGGATGGTAGAACGCGTCAATGTTGATTCGATCCTTAGGAAACTCTGTGCTTGCGCATCTGCCCTCGCACAACATCTGCCAAAAGCTTTCCGTCGAAGTCGCTTCCTGTGGGAATTCGAAGTCATATCCAACCACAGCAATGGGTGTTGGTCCTGCGTGGTCTTCACCATTCTCCGCCGATGTGCTTGGCGACATATTGCTGGACCTGACTTCGTACCAATCTGAAAAAAGATTCAAAAGCGTAACCCAAATGCCCTACGCTGCAAAGGAATAAGATTACTCAGAAGGTGGCTCCAACGGCAACTAGGCAAAGTATCAAGCACGCGTTTGCCGCTTACCGTTCTGCCTACCGTTCTGCCTACCTATCTATAGAACTTCTCAACAGCGCATGCCCTGCATAATACCAGTATCAGCGGCAGGTGGACGTAGTACTAGTCAGGGGAACAACTCTGTTGCTCCTGGCGCGGAATAATACCAACACTGTAATTTCTTTCCCCATGATAACTTGAACGACTAATTTATTTGTATCGTCCGAAAAGTTCAGATATACATCAATCAATCCTTGATATCTTATACAACTTTCGAGGTGTATATCTGTTTTAATAGGTAGTAATTGATCCTTAATCGTACCATATTTCTAGTCTCTGTATATGATAAATACTATGCAGCGTTAACACACGGTTAGAGAAATTAACTTTTTGCCCCACTAGTATTGAAGCTGGACACTTCACCAGGGAAGCGAAGTTTTAGACGACACCTTCGGAAATGCTACGTTCTGGCTCGAGATGACAGGTGACTTCAGCAAAATGTAGAAGACAAATCGTGCGTTACACAGGGATCTCAGCCTCACTTGGCTCCAGATTTTTGGGGTCTCAGATGGAAAAGAAGGCCCCCCGGCCACTCAGAGTGCTTGTTATGTGTACGGCTGCCACGATCCAGAGCGCGAACCCACATCGTATTCAGGTCACGATCGCTCCTCATGCACTTTGGCTGGCCCCGGCCATCATTGGAAAAAAATGGGTCCGGAGGTCCCGAATCTGTATGCAACCACTGTGGAAATTAGATAATACTAGGGATTAATGTTCGGACCGTCACTCTCGGCAAACCCCGCGCCAAGAGTTCCAAAGGCAGTGGTACAAGTACTAAGGAAATTGACCAATCATGGCCTACTAGTAGGCAGCCCTGTGTCTTTCGTCGTAACCGAAAAGGCCCCCAAGAAAGACCCAAAAAATGACTCAATATAAGCATGATCAAATTTCGGGACGTATATGCGGCCGCACCATGTGTGATGAGAAACACTAAATGTGCATAAACGGCGCTGTAGCGTCGACCATTACCAAGGAAGCAACCTTCCCGTATTTAGTACATCGCGTCCTCATTGCCGCCCAAGGCAGCAAGGATCATGTCGTGCAGAATCCTTACCCTCATTCTTCACTCCTGGCCCGTCACTACTAAGTTAGTAGAAAGCTGCAGCGGGATCTAGGTGTCTTGATCCGGACTAGTGCGACAGACGCAATTGCTCAAGTCCATGCATGTTAAGACTGACTTAGATTATTTATTTTTATATATCTCTAGTTATATAAATATTTTATCATGAATGAAATTACAAAATTGAATTCTTATATATTTGTTTTATAAAATCATATTAAACTAAATTTTTATTTTTATTATTATATTCTTACATTATTTATTATCTAAATCATGATTACTTATATAAGTTAAGTATATTTTCTATGTCACCAAATAGATTACTTTGAAATATCTATAGTTATCTTTATTAGTTGTTTTGTTATATAAGTACTATTTTAACTGATTTCTAGAGTAATTAGTGAGATAGTGATCCAACTTCACAAAAGAGTTACGCCCAAGTAACCAAAGTTACTTGAATGCAGTTGGAATAGTATATTAATCCTTAATCCAGATGCCCTAGAGAGAGTCGGACCACGACTCCATCTAGGCCCCAGGAGGCCTCCATGTCAACTCCGTGACAATTAGATTATTCATCAAAGATAGAAGTTTTTGAGTTTTTATAAAGTTTCTAAGATACTTATTGTCGAATGACAGGTGCGCTCATTAGCGCTCATTGGTTAGAATTTCTACGCGAAATCCCTGCGTTTCGCCTGCTTTTGATTGGTCAATTTCTACTGCAATTTCGCAGCTAATTTCGCTGTGCCGTACAGCACAATTTGTACTTATTAATCCCTAGAACGCAGTAAGCATTAGATTAATACTGTCAGAGACGGTATCCCGCGATTACTACCCCAAAAGGACTGTATTCCCTGTTCTGCTCAATCAGCAGGTAAACCAGGGTTTGTGGAGACAGGTAAGGCTTCCCATTACGCCCCGGGTCAGCCTACAGGACCTACAGGGGCCTGACGAACACTACCAAGGTACGGAGTAGTCGGTACCGGTTTAGTAAACGTACATACAGTGACAAGGTGGCGCGCTACTGCCCAAAGGCCACCCTCCACCACAATCTCGACCTCTTATCAATCAAGATTCCTCGGCTTCAGACTGCCATCTACGGTTATCATGGCAATACTAGCGATGCAGAGCAGGGAAAGCAGCTCCGGCAAAAAGCGCAAGGTTCTATGCTTGCACGGCATAGGCACCAACAGTGAAGTAAGACACATGCTCAGACTCGACCACACTACACCCCCGCGAATGCGGCTGAAGCTCACAGATGGGGCAGATCTTCGAAGCGCAGACGGGTAAGCGGGCACAGCTGTGAGAACTACGCACCGGGATGACTTTGAAACTAATTTTGACATGCTGGCCCAGCTGCCTTACGCTATCGTCTGGGGCCAGCGTTCGAGTACGACTTCATTGAAGGTTCATATCCTTGGCCTGCCGCTCCAGGTATCCGCGAAATCTTCGGGGCCCACGACATGTGTTATTCCTACCATGATGGTTCGGCCCCAAGCGCTCTGGAGGCAGTGCAAAGTCTGTCCGAATACTGCAGAGACAACAGTCCCTACGCTGCCGTCATGGGCTTCTCCTCGGGTGCCGCACTCGCCGCCACTCTTCTCATTGCAGAGGCGGGAGATGAGGGGCTCAAGAAGGAGCAGCAAGCGACTTTTGGCAGTGCCATCTTTCTATGTAGCACCCAACCCTACGACTGGCGCGAGCTGAAAGCAGGAAGAGTTCGCTTCCTGGATGGCCAAGATGCGAGCGAGGCGATCTGCATCCCAACGGTGCATGCCTGGGCACGCAACGACAAGGAATATGCAGAACAAGGGGTCAAGGTAGTGCAGATGAGTAAGTTAGCAAAGCGAACCGAGGTGATTCACAACGCAGGCCACGGGGTTCCAAATCATGGCGAGGCCTTGGAAAGGTTGGCGGTTGCTGTGGAAAGAGCTACGAGTGGGCTGGCATAAGGAGGTTCACGACACTCACCTGATTGACTGACGCATTTATTCTCTTTCAGTTTTCTACAAGGTTCCTAAGGTGCGGCCGTGCATTCAGGCTGCGTACCAGGGTCCAGGATGCTGAGTATCATGGGTTATGGCGTCTTTTCAAGACATCTGTTACACGACATAACGAGCTAACTTGTTCTGGCATGTCAACTTCGTTCGTTGAATCGTTGTTCCACACTGCCTGCCAGTGATAGATCGTAACCTGCATTCTTCAAAATCTCGTCAATTATTACCCTGTTGTCCGCCCACCACAGCCTTGTTGTTTCTCGGATCAATTCATCCTCTGCTCCTGCTACAAGCACGCAGTAAGAGCCACAATTGTTCAGCCTCAGGATCGCATTGAATCTTCGTTAGCACTTCACAACAGCTTTCGACTACAAGGCTAGATCTTACGCAATCCGGTCCACTTCAAAGGACAGTCAAAAAGTTTATTGCGCAAAGATGATTACCCAGATAGCCCCCATCAGTCATGACTATGTCGTTCTCATCAGCGTCACATGCATATTTACTTCCTTCTCGACTATTTGTGTCGTCCTTCGTTACTACTCACGTCGTCTAAGCGACGGCTTTGGCTCAGATGACTGGGCCGCCATCGGTGCGCTCATCTTCGCCTTTGGATTCCTCATCGCCAATGTCCTCGCCGCGACAATCGGGATGGCTGGCTATCAGCAGCATGAGATTGATATGGCACACTTTCAAGCCTACTTAAGGGTATGTGGCAGCATTACATTGCATCGAATACTTTATAACATTGTGCGGTCCAGTGCTTATTGGCCAACAACATCGTCTACAATACCTCTATCACCCTCTCCAAGCTCTCCGTCGTCCTAATGTACCGCCGCTTGTTTGCTGTCCGATCCTTCCGGATCTGGTTATGGCCAGTCTATTTTCTTTTGGCGGCGTACTGGCTATGCTGCTTTTTCGCCGAGCTTTTTGCATACACACCGGTTCAAGCGCAGTGGAATCCATTGATGCCTAGTACGCATATCGATTTATTCAAGTTCGGGCTGGCTATGGCTGGTTACAACATCGCCATGGATGTCCTAATTTTGACCATGCCGCAATTCCGGGTCTGGCGGCTCTGCATTACGAAACAGAAGAAGGTTCTTCTCTCCGTCGTCTTCCTGCTCGGTGGATTGTAAGTGCTTCATCCATTAATATCCAATTCATATGGGAGATGACAAGCTGACCTGCTTACGGTGTCTGTATCGCGAGTACTGTGCGCCTCATCTATCTAGTAAGGATCGATTACGCTAACCCGACCTGTAAGTTCATCTCTGACTCCGCTGCGCTCAAGTAGTAATTCTCCGAAATAGATACGCTATCTGTTGCAGGTATCTGGACAGCCGTTGAGGTCAACATGGCCATTGTCTGCGCGTGTCTACCGACGCTTCCGCACCTCTTCCGCCACTGGTATGACGCCAAGCAGCCTAGCCAGAGTATGAGGTCGACTGGTTCCTTGGTGGGCCGTAAAATGGTCGCCTGGATGAAGACCAGCAAGAGCGACAGTAGCGCAGCGTTCTCGGAGTTGGAAAGAGGTTGGGCCTCAGAATCATCCACCTCTGGTCTGCGCCCAGAATCCGGAAAGGATGACTCCTCGCCAATGCGCCGATTTGACCGTTACCAGCTGTCAGACCTCCAGAGCGTGCGTGTACACGAAGATGCTGGGGTGGACGGATCGACCAAAGCGAGGTCTTGAACCCATTGCATAAAGTACATGCGCTTCTCTAGACACGCGGGTCTACGCGTAGAGCACGTGGAATAGCGGTAGCGCTCTGTTGTATAGGTGGGTTATTGAATCTATTTCTGGAAGGTATTTGGAGTCACTATCTGTAGTATACGGCTAGCTGCTGGTGCGGAGCGTTTGAGAAGCATGTTTTGAACGGACGGGATCGGAGGCTGCCGCAAATGCAGTTGAGCACGATCCAGTCGGATCCAGAGAGTCCGGAGGTCTGGAGGTCTGGAGGTCCGAGGCCGGATCCAAGAAATCGTTGCCGATCCCATACAAAAGCAACTGGCCACTATTCTGCGGCCAAATTCGTACGCCAACAGGCCTATATCAACGCCAACGAGGTCAAATTCAGCTATATCTATACAATTTTACTAGTATTTCGTCATTCTACCCTCATTTTGAAGAACAGCCTCTAATCTATCGTGCATAGTCCACTTGCGACCCTTCTCAGTGCCCCATACGACGCGATTTATCTCCTTCTGCGTCAATGCCTCCCATTCGACTTCTATTGCTCTCTTGAGATCCTCCTTTGTACGAGGGCAATGCTGTCGTACACGCTGTTTCAAAATGCGCCATATATTCTCAATTAGTGAGAGATCAGGGCTAAATGCTGGCCAATCGTCAATATAATCAAGATCTATCTGATCTTTATATAGTTTTACTCGATTCTCCTCGCTCTGAGTACTATAGCCGCCATCATTATCCTCTTGAAAGATAAAGCCATATATTCTCAATTGGTGAGAGATCAGGGCTAAATGCTGGCCAATCGTCGATATAATCGAGATCTATCTGATCTTTGTATAGTTTTACTCGATTCTCCTCGCTCCGAGTACCATGGCCGCCATCATTATCCTCTTGAAAGATAAAGCCCTGCCCTTTAGCAACAGCTTGGTCCCTATACTCCTTAACAACAGGCAAGATCTTCTTAACATATAGCTCCTGGGTCATATTTCGCGACTCATTCTCATCAAGGCCATAGAAGATGAGTTTGCTCTTGAAATTCCAGCCAATACACGCCCAAACGTGTAGCTCACTAGCACCTGTTTTGAACTTTTTCTGTATACAATCTGGCTGAAATCTCTCTCCTCGACGACGTAATACCCACGCAGCTGTACGAGAGTTATGATGAAAATGCGATTCATCTGAAAAGCGTACATATTTCCACTTCCAAGCAGGCCAACCAAGATATTCTTTCGCGAAGGCTATTCGTCGTTGACAATCGCTTATTTTGAGCCATTTCTTCTGCGCTGCACGATATTTTCAGAGGCCTTGTTGCTGCAGAGCTGTTCGAAGAGTATTGACGCAAACATTGAGGTTATAGCGCTTGATTTGCGTCTCATAATCAAGCTTGCGAATGCTATAATGACCTGCTAGGTCTTTAATAATTTGATCAAGAGTATCTCCAGGGATTTTTGAGGGTCTCCCTGGTCGATTTTTGCCTGTACGGCGTTCATTATGACTTCGTAGCCAATAGCCCTGGGTTCGAATTGGTATACCAGTCTCTTTTTCGACGGATTTGGCTGAATATCCCAATTCTGTACGCATTTGGAATACCCTTACCCCGTTTTAGCAATCTATGGACTATTAACTTGTTCTAGTTTCGAGCCATTGCATATAAGAGTTATAATAAAAATGTAATTTATCTAAAAAGTGTATATATTTCTACTTTTAAGCAGGCTAATTAAGATATTCTTTTATAAAGGCTATTTGTTATTAATAATTACTTATTTTGAGTTATTTCTTTTGTGCTATATAATATTTTTAGAGGCCTTATTATTATAGAGCTATTCAAAGAGTATTAATATAAACATTAAGGTTATAATGCTTGATTTATATCTTATAATTAAGCTTACAAATATTATAATAATCTACTAGATCTTTAATAATTTAATTAAGAGTATCTCTAAGGATTTTTAAGGGTCTCCCTAGTTAATTTTTGCCTGTATAACGTTCATTATGACTTTGTAGCTAATAGCCCTAGGTTCGAATTAGTATACCAGTCTCTTTTTCAACAGATTTGGCTGAATATCCTAATTCTGTACGCATTTGGAATACCCTTACCCTGGCTGGCGTAGGATACTCCCCATTACCCTTCTTGCCGCGGGTATCTGGCGCTGGTGAGGGCGTACGACGTTGACTGCGAGTAACGGCCATGTCTCTGCGAATTTGATGCGAAATGAGTGCTAATTAGGGCAGTAATGCTCAAAAAACGCGTTGAAATAGCCCTGTTTACCCCCTATTTAGTGGTGGAATGATTTTGTATGGGATCGGCAACGATTTCTTGGATCCGGCCTCGGTCCTTGCTCAGGCCTGACAGTTACTGATATCGTCTGTATACAAAGCCATCCTTGGCAGTAGGATTTCCAAGTACAGTAGCTGTTGATGAGCAAGGCTGCGACTCATGCCCTGGGATTGTTCGGCAAAAGCTATCCCTCGTCAATACAAGGATTTTAATTATATCTGCTCCTGCAGCGCATTGTATCAAGGAGCTCCCCATCCCTGCACACTACCAGCATTGCCACCACTGCTCCCAGGCATCGATGTTCCCCATGCCTCGACGGGGACTGAGCATGCATCTCGATCTTCCTCTCTGGATTGTGTCACGTGGTGTGATTGGACGCCTGGTGAGCCATAATCCACCACTAGGACGAGGAGTTGTATGATGCTGTTCCAGGTGCTGGCACCACCGAACAGCATTCTGACACGGTCACAGTTTGACCTGCTCACTCGCAGCCCCTCCTTGCATAACGCGGCCTGACCACCGAAAATTGCTATCTAGACGAGGCAGTTAAATATAACATATTGTACCCGTCTGTCTTGAACTCAACAGATGCTACACACTTCACCATTTTCATTCATATCCCAAGTCTACCGGACCCAACTTGGCCGCCTAGCTATCGCTCTTCAACAGTGTCCCGTCCCTATAGGTTCACTCCTAAACTTGCCCCGCAATACTTAACGGCGTGAGCGTCATGTCAAAAGCCACGCCAACAATGGCCCAGCCAGCCACCACCGCAGCCACCAATACTAGTACCACTAAGCCCACCATCGTCCTCACCCACGGCATCTGGCACTCGCCACTCACATACAGCAAATTCACCAGCGCGCTCCGAGCCGCGGGCTACGATGTCCACGTCCCCTTCCTGCCCTCCTGCACCGGGGCGCGTCCCCCCAAGGCCAGTCTCCCCGAGGACACGCAACTGGTGCGGCGGCTCGTCGAGATGCTGTGCGACCAGGGCCGCACCGTCATCATGGTCATGCACTCCTACGGCGGGGTGGTGGGCTGCAACGCGCTGAAGGGGCTGGGCGCCAAAAAGGGCGGCGGCGTCGCCCATCTCGTCGCCGTGGCCGCGCACCTCCACCCCGTCGGCTTCGGCATCCTCGACCTGGTGCGCGAGATGGGCAACAAGGACCTCATCCCCGTCGCCTTCGACATCGCGCCCGACGGCAGCTGCATGTCCAAGAACGTGCGCGCGTCGCTGTTCAACGACCTGGCCAACGAGGCCGAGGCCAACGCCCTCATGCGCACCCTGTCGCGCGCCAACCTGGACTGCATGGAGGCCAAGGTGCAGTTTGAGGCCTGGAAGCACATTCCCCTCACCTATGTGCATACCACGGCCGACATGACTCTGCCGCCGCATTATCAGAAGCGCATCTTGGAGAAGATGGAGAAGGCGAAGGTCAAGGCGAAGGTGGTGGAGATGGATTCGGGGCACTCACCCTATGTGACCAAGACGGACGAGCTGGTTGCGCTTGTTGAGAAGGTGGCCGCGCATCCATAGCTCCGATGCTTTGTACTTTGATCTCAATCGCGAGTAATGTAGCACCTACAAATCTCTTCACCAAGCCAGCTAGCTACTTCTACAACCTATTTCTCCATTCATCACCGATGAGCTCCCCCATCCGCTCGAGTGAAATCTGCCACGAAAAACACTACGCTACATAGCCTCCCGCTTCGCTTCGCGCTCCTTAAACACCAGCCGCAGCGGTCCCGGCGTACTGGTAAAGTAATCAACCGTCTCCGCAAACATGCGCGTACCATCTTCACCCGGTGCGAAGCCAACATCGAACCTCGTCACGACCGCGGCGACCGCGACTCGGATCTCCAGCAACGAGAGCTTTTTGCCGATGCACTGGCCCTTCCCAGCACTCCACGGCATGTACGCATCCTCGTCGAGGATGAGCTCCGGCCGGGTGGTGAAACGCTCGGGAAGGAAGTCGTTCGGCTGTGCGAAGTTGCGCGGGTCTGAGACAGACAAGCGCGTCAGCTCTTCATTCAATGACGCCGTGCAAAGGTTAGGGGGTTGGAAAAGACTGGCCGACAAGCGATTCGGTGGTGCTAGCGCGTACTTACCTCGGAATAGACTGTACTGCGGCACCAACACTGTCGTTCCCCCGGGAATGTGAGCGGTGCTGAGGGTGAGGCCTTCCGGTGGGGTGATGCGGAGCCCGGCCGCTGGTACGGGTGGGTTCAGTCGAAGCGTCTCGTAGATGACGGCTGACAAGTGGTCGAGACGGGCTAGGGCCTTGTAGTCGCGCCAGTCGATTTGGGCGAGCTCGTTGCGAACCTGGCGTAGGTGCTCTGGATAGACGACCAGGTAGTAGAAGATGTTTGTAAGGGCTAGACGCATTGGGTCACTGGGAGTGGAGGGCAGAGTTAGCTAATGGATTCATATTTCTCAGACTGAGAGCCTTAGAGGAAGAAAAGGGGGTGTGCCCTCTACTGAGAGGCTGATAGTCAAGACGGAGGCATACCTTCCTGCTGCAATGAGTAGTGCGAGATCTCCCATCATGAACCGCCACTCGGCTTGGAAGCCGCCGTTTCGTCGTGCATCTTCGACGACATAGCCGAGAACCTAAAGAATGATATGGGCGATATATCTGCGGCTGCATTCCATTTGACTTACATCTTTGATTTCGGATTTTGACTATGATTTTCTTAGCTAGCTACTTCTGCAGACTGTATCTCGTCGTTTTGGGTTCCAGGTACTCACCTCAATCTTGTTCTGCAGTAGATTTGTTGTCCACTGTAAGAACAACCTATAACTCCGGAGTCGTTCGATATAAGGTATCGACATCATAAGGTGCTTCATCCACGGAGCAGCACCGATGGGTCCAAGATTCCGATGAGCGATGTGGTATAAGTGGTGGATGTCATTCGGTTGGCCTTCTAGAAGCCCGAAGTCAAAGCCCATACCAAACTGGCCCATCAAGTCGAAGGTATAATATTCAAACCAGTCTGAAACGTCAAGAGGCTCGTTCACGCGCTTCTCAATGGCCGCCACGAGCTTGTCTCCGTAGGAGTAGACCAGACCTTCCTGCTTTTCTAAGGCTAGCATCATTGTCAGAGACTCAAACCAGACTGACAAAGGGCTGGGGTCGGCTTGCATCTGACGCTGAAAAACTGGTCCCAGATTTTGCGCCTTCTAGTGTGCATAGCAGGATCTCTGGTTGTGTCAAGTGACTCCATAGGCTGTAGCAGATCATAATATGGGGACTTGGTGCAGTTCGACTGAGAGTTGTAGACCTGGTGGAAGGCTTCCACCGTGAAGAGGGTGATCTCATTGGGACCTGTTGGACCATCAGCCGCCTCCTCTATGAACTATAGCATCTGTAGTCGCCGCTGTCCTCGATTTTGACGACTTTTTTTTTGGCGAGAACATACGACGAATCTTTACCTACCAGTCCTTACGATATCTCCATACTTTTGACGCTCTCTCTCCAAGACCTTGAAGTTGTCAGGCTTCGTCATGCTCCACACGTGAGACAGCTTAGATAGCTTCCAAGAGAAGGACCCAGGAAACCTCCTGAGCGGCGAGAAGAACAATCGATATACGGCAATGCTCGTCATCATGATCCCAACGTAGATCGCGGCCAGCGTCATGGTTTCACGGCAGGCATTGCTGAAGGTGAGACCCTCAACGTAACCCTTTGCACCGGCGACGAGAATGCAAAGAACAATGTGTGTCTGCGCGATGTGCGCTGCTTGCAAATCATGTTCGCCGTGGACAAAATAGCACCAGTGAGCAAGGAAGCCTGCTGTTGCGGCGCTGAGTACCTGGTTCTGGAAGCCCGTCATGATGGAGTGGTGGTCGGGTTGAGTTTGTAGATGATGCCTTTGCTCTTCGACTGTCGAAGTGCTAAGGCTTCTTCAGCATTGTTCTTACAGACGCCGACAGAGGTCTCTGAGCATTCAGTCGAGGTCCTCTATCAGCCTAATCCGTTTGGGCCAATGGCTTAGGAGTGCGGCACCGACCCCAGCTGTGGACCATCCTGCTCTCTCGAGGCTCGATGCAGTCTTCAACTGGGATTCAGTGATGGCCATTCGGACCCCTGCAGCAGCCGTCAAGGACTGCAACCCTACAAATTCAGAACACCAATCGTGGGGTCTTGCAACTCGTGAGTTGCATGCAGACTGCATGCTTGCTAAATACAGCTTTCCAAATTGGAAAATTGTAAGCCCTGTAGCGCTCACGATTTTACACCGAATGATAAAAAAGAATATAAAGAAGTATTTAAAAATCTGTTTAAACTTAGAAATTCTAAAATCTTTATACTAATTAAATTCTTAATATTTAATATATTTTTGATTCAAGAGTTGTATTACTAATTCATCATTAATAAAGAGTTTTAAATATAGTATTAATAGTAAGATATCTTTTATTTTAAATTAAGATTATTTTATTTAGCCTTAAAAATAAACTTTTTAAATTTATAAACTAGTATTAAATAGTATATATTAAATTTTTTAAATATAAGACGACTATATTATTATAATAAAAGATAAAGTAATAATAATAATAATTGGACACAAAATATTTATATCATATTTATTAATAAAATATTTTAATAAACTTGATCTTTAGTCCTAGGGTCAAAGATGACAAGCTCTGCGGACTGTAAACCCTGTTTCATCAGGAGAGTACTCCTTGATTGAGATCATTATAAGGTTTGAACCCATGTCTTTAAGGACCTGATCGTATAATGCTACTTTATTAGGATGGGTAAGCTTGCTAGCCCAAAGCGATCACGTTCTCACCTGTCACTGCGTCAATAGGCGGAGTAATACTAGTGGTGATCAGACACTAATGCTCTTGCACTACCTATATAGAATACCTTGACGAACCTGACGTGCATAACAGGACCTGTCGACCACAGCTTGTAGAGATCTCTATGCTTAGTCTAGTCTGCATATAGGAATATCATCTTCAAGGATAATACCCTGCAACGGAGGGGCCATCCGCCGCTGAAAACGATCGTTTTATGAGGTTAGACCTTTGGCCCCTTCGGCCCCATTTCAGGCAACCAGCCGGCGCTTCGGTGGCACCCTGGGTTGGGCGTTTGGACTTTGATCGCCGTCGTCATGCGGAGCCGTTGGAAACCCTTCTGAATCAATTACATGCATCGATGGTTCTAGACACTTGCCAAGAACAGTAGGTATATCTTACTAGTACTAATACGGAGCTGTGCATCAAAAGTCTTTACTATACGCTAAATTTAAAGCATCACTAAATCTAAGTTTTAGCGTTACGTAAAAGCCGCGCTATAGAAGTAGAGCCCTAGAGCTGCTGCTGTGACCTTCTGATTTTAGAGACACCTATGGCCCTCTTCTAAGTCGTTTCACGTGGCTTGCAAGTCAGCGTCTAGCCAAGCATCAGCTACCTGCACCCTGACTATTATTTACGCCCCACGGTCTACTAGTAGTAAGCTAGTACAGGAAGGGCTAGATAACACTTATCGTAGTTAGCGTGTATTGAAGATTTTTGATGCACGACTCCGTACACGTACATACGTATTCTGAACTTACCTGTTCATCCTGGTACATCTCCGCCCCCAATCTTCTCCATACATAAACCCTAGCAATAGTGGATCGATTGGGAGGCGTTAGAAGCTCAGCTGCATGTCATTCGTGTTGTCGGCTCTCAGCGCATCATGTGCCACCACACTAGGGCCCCCTACACCTGCTTCACACTTTGTCAATAAGGTGCGTCCGGCGGTGCAACACACATCTTCATACAAGGAAGCCAGCCTATCACAACCGCAAATCCGACTTATTATCAGCTTCAATGCTGAATTTTCATGGGAAGCCCTGTCTGCAGCCGCGGCACGGCTGGAAGTACCAATCTGGAAACGATGGCTGCTCTGTGGAAACTGTTTGTCATGAGCGCAGTTCAGAACTTGGCGCATCGATTCGATCCACCGGGCAAGGCATATTTCACGCGGGTCTCAAGTGGCCGGTATTCATCAAGAGCACCCTGTATGCCTTAGCTGAAGCATTTGGCTCGCCTTGGCCTTTCCTCTCCCATGAGTGGCTCCCATACGCGCACGAGAACTCTTGTGGTGCGTGATCGGAGGCTTTTGGACAATGCAACGAGCATCCCCGATATCAGACATGGACAAACCGAGCCGCTCCTATGCTGCCCATATATGCCTTGTTCGATAATGCGTGAATAGCGGCTTCACGACCTTGGGGTCCCACCCTTGATCAGTTTTCTACTTGCTTTAGATACTGTTCTATTTCCTAATTGTTCATAAGCGGAAATCTCGGAGAAGATTGGGGTGTCGAATATGGCAAACGCCAAAGCAGCAAGTCCAGGACACGGACTTGCGAGCTCACCATACCCGGTCTCAGGGTCCTCTGATGGCTCTAAAGCGAATAGTGAACAGCATGATCATGGATCAGAGCATCACCCGAGAGCAGGCATGAAGAGCTTTGCTTGGCCCTTGGTGCTGATATCGATACTGTGTTCTCACTTCCTCTACGCTCTTGACAACACCGTCGTAGCGAACGTGCAACCGGCCATTATTGCAACGCTGGGCGAAATAGACAAGCTGCCATGGATCTCTGTGGGGTTCGTTTTCGCTGCGGCAAGCGTGACGCTCACATGGTAAGTACTCTTTCATACTCAGATACCAAAGCTCCTAACCGTAGCATAGGGGCAGATTGTACGGACTGTTCGATGTTAAGATTACCTTCATGACCGCAGTCTTCGTATTCGAGGTAGGTACAGCTGTCTGTGGTGCGGCACCGACCATGAATGCTTTCATAGTTGGTCGCACCATCTGCGGCTTAGGAGCTGGAGGGATCTACACGGGCACAATGGTAGTGGTTGCGGCGTTCACTTCGATCAAAGAGCGACCAGCTTACCTAGGGATGACTGGTCTTACCTGGGGGTTTGGAACTGTGTATGTTGATCATGACCTCCGCCTAGGTTCCACTCAGCTAACAGACCATGAAGACTAGGGCCAGTTATCGGCGGCGCCTTTGCAGATAACACGCACGCCACGTGGCGTTGGGGCTTCTACATTGGCCTCTGTGTCGGCGCTGTAGCCGCGCCAGTATACTTCCTACTGCTGCCAAGATACGACGTCCGAAAAGGCACGCCCATGTTGATACGGTTCTTTGAGTTCGACCTTGTGGGATCAGTATTACTGATCGGCGCTTTCGTCTCTGGGACCTGTGCAATCGATTTTGGCGGATCTCTGTACGCATGGAGCGACTCGCGTATCATTGGACTCTTCTGTGTATTCGGTGTTCTCTGCATACTCTTTACAGCGCAGCAAGGGTGCTCCATACTGACGAAACCCGAGCACAGACTGTTCCCGGGAGACATGCTCAAGTCTCGAGATATGGTCATCCTGTTCATTCAGGCCTCAGCATCAAATGCCTGCGTTTTCATTCCGGTCTTTTACATCCCACTTTACTTCCAGTTCGTTCGTGGCGATGGCGCTCTGGAGTCAGCGGTCCGGCTGCTGCCATACGTCTGTGTGTTTGTCGCCGCCGCAATGTTCAACGGTATCTTCATGACGAAGACTGGCTATTACCTGCCATGGTACATTGTCGGCGCGGCACTGTCCCTTGTGGGAGGGGCACTGATGTTCACAGTCACCCAACATACAGCCCCATCCCGCGTGTATGGCTACAGCGTGCTCATTGCAGCCGGTGCAGGCTCTGTCAATCCCGCCTGTTGGGCCGTCTCTCAGGCAAAGGCTCCTCGCGGCAACTTTGTTCAGGCGAGCGCTTTCATTGGCCTCGCGAACGCGCTGGGCCTGACGCTAACTTTGAGCATTTCCAACAGTGTCTTCGTGAATGTCGCGACGAAAATGGTTGCGACGGTCTTGCCGAGGTTAAATCGTACGCAGGTGCAGGCCGCCATCGCTGGCACTGATGCACATGTCTTCCAGACGCTCATGGATGACGAGCGTATGCGGTGCTTGGATGCCATAACATATGCACTGTCGAGGATCTATATCATGCTGATTGTTGGGGCTGCTACATCCTTGGTGTTTGCAATGCTCATGAAGTGGGAAAAGGTTTTTGTGGATCCAGAGAAAGAGCAGCAGGATGAACAAAAGGCACAAGTTTAGGTAGACTGTACATCACGCTCTGCATTGTATTCCATTGAAGCAACGAGGGCCGCGAGGTCATTAAGACCAAGATGACTTCTTCATAAGACGTCGTGACCAGTGAGTACCGAGGTTAACCACTCATGCATCATGCGGTCTCGTTCCAAGTACGGTATACCTCGTGAAAGCCCAAGCAGCACCTTGCCGAGTCTCGTCAGCGACTTTCGACAACAGCTCTGGAAGCTCCTGTGCAAAGGCCTTATCCTTCGCCTTTGACGCTATTACCTCGTGCACCATCAGGTTACACTCGTGCATGGCGAGCGCTACCCACGGCTTAGCTTCTCGCACATCGTACTGCACGCAGTGGAAGCCGGCACTTCTAAACAGAGTCGGGAGCTGACTGACCCACGTTGGCTTGAAGCGCGCATCTTGACCTTGTGCGATCTTCAAAAGTCGACTCAAGGCATGCGTAGAGATACTGGGATCTGCCTTTTCAATGCGAAACGATGCAATATCAGGTTCATCCCATTGAAGATGACCACCAGGCTCTGTAATAGACTCGTCAGAACCCTTGAAAACTACGCGTCTCAGGAGGTAGTCATACTGAGTAGCTTTGCAAGCCTCACCAGTATCGCTGGGAGATCTTCGTCCAACAGCACGAAGGCGAACAGGCGAACGTGGACAATGTCGTAGACTCCTAACAGCTCCTCAGGCGCATCTGTCTTGATGTTCCAATGAATGGTGTTGACGTTCGCTGGTAGCCATCTTCGCGGTGGCAGCGCGTCGAATGAGATATCCAAACCATCGAGCTGCACGGTCGCTGGTAACCGGTCGCTGAGGTCTGTAAGCCAGACTCTGCTCGCGTTACTTTAGCGACGTCCCCAAACCAGGAATTGATCCAACATCTTCGACGCACCCGGTTCCAGTCCCCACGTCTGCAATCTTGAGATGAGGATTACTGGTTGGAATAGCGGGATGCACCAGATATCCGAAGATCTCTCGCCACAGATAATGCTGCAGATTTATACTTGTTCATCAGGTCAGGCCATGGATGCTCGGTTCGAGGACGGCTGGCGGTCTTGCGCAGCTCGGGGTACGTACCGGTTGTTGTCGAGATAATCCCGATTGAAGATGTAGTCGTCGCTCCGACCTTGTGTCATGCTATCCGCAGTCGATGAATGCCTAGATGCCATTAAGCTCGCATCTCGAGATCCCGTCCCTAAATGGTTCATTGTCGTCCGTGTTGGACTGCTGAGCACATGACACTAGCTGCCTCAGTTCTCAGCCGTACTTTGTAGCTCGGACGATGACTAGGTCAATATGCGCTAGCACATCTAAGGACACAAACCAAAATTATAGCCTGATTGTCATTCTGCCTTATATAATTAATGAGTTATACTAATTTAGGCTAAAATTATATATATTAGCTTAAAATTAATATTAGTTAAAGAATTATATAATATTAAATTTATAGATTATTCTGTAGATTATTCTGTTATAACTGCTAAGCAAGATACTTGTTAACTATAGAAAAAGAAGACAAAACGACTAAACTATCATAGCGCTATTAGGAATTGAACCTAATTTATTTTTATCCCCTCACTGTTGTGAGGGACAGGAGGACTCTGGTAGATCATTCTCTTGTTTGGCAGCTTCCTTGTTTGGCAGCTGCCTTGTTTGACAAGCTGCCTTGTTTGGCAGCTGCTGAGAAGGTTCTACGTTCTTCTATGGCACAAAGGCCTCGGCCTTTAGCGGGTTTTAGGCCAGGCTTAGAATAGTAAAACCTAGCCCTTATATGTTCGACAAGGTCAAAAGGATGGGGCGGTCATGGCTTGAGGATCCATAGGGGTTTTGGGAAGAAGCTGTTGAATTGCCTCATGGAAGTGGAGGAGTCTACTCACACCCGCAGACGTGTATACCTACACGAGAAGGATGAATGGGAAGCGACATGGCGTAGGCCGATTGCGGATCGTGAGTATGGGCTATTTTCCGAGAACAGCAGATATACCCGCAGAGCGCGACTCGGCGAATGCTGAGCTCCATCAACGCTTTCCAGAAGACTAGGGACGCAGCGGCAGATTCTGTGCAAGCAGTAGACGACTTCCGGCGCGACGGTGAGCTGTATATGGGGGGTTATGGTTGGCCTGCTGGATGGGAGACTGGGTTTTAACTCCAAATGAGGCTACATTGGTATTGGGCCCAAGCTCACTTCAGTTCGAAGACCTGATATGTGTATTACTCAGCACATATGTTCCTTGCCGCAGTGCTATCAGCTCATCGGCGAATGCTATGTTCACCGGTGATGGATGGTGAGGTGGTGGAGGGCAATCCATCTGGAGGAGTTTATACAGCTACTAGTAAGTAGAAGCACGTACGAGTTTTATGTGTCAGAGACTTTAGATCGACACTTGATGGTGAGTGATTATTTCAACTGGGCTTTTCTAATAGAGAGTCGTTTGCGCCATCCATTCCGCCCTTCTTGCCTTTCCACCGGCAACCTAAATTCGAGTTTCAGAAATGCTCTAACTACTACTAGTTTCCCTCCGGTACACATCGATTCCCTGACCATACGGGAGTGCGGGACCGCTGCCGTCAAGATGTCCTACTTCCAGGGGGGGAGACTTGGCGGCGATTTGGTAGATGCCTGAGAAGCCCTCCGACCATTTCCTCCCCCGGCTCCTTCGCCAGAGTCTGTTCGACTTCCTGCTGCTCCTCGAGCTTTGAGACCGCCTGGAGGTCTTGAAGGTCCTGTAGTTCCGGTATATGTTGCTGTTTCATTGTGGGACTTAGAGGAAGATTGTCCTGTGGTGACACTTGCATTCGACGTCCTGCGACCTGTGGGCTTGGATGCTGAAATTCTTGTGTCCGCCAAGGTGTCTGCTAGACCTTCAGCTTCATTCAAGTCTATATCTCCCAAGCGTGAACTGTCGCCCACGCTCGAAGCGAGACTTGGTGATTTGAGATCAATAGAGCCTTGGCTTCTGTTCCTTGGAGTCCTTGGTGTTGACGGGCTGCCAGTTTGCTGCGCTGCGGTTGAAGATAGACTAGACAGCGACCCTCTATGAGCAGTTTCTCTGCCCAGCCATCTCATGCCTCTGACACTTGTAGCGGTTGGCCTCGGCGGACAACGTTCTGCAATTCGGGGATCCCTCTTACTAGGTTCTCCGCTACTTGTGACGTCCTCCATTGCATTGATCAGTGCGGTAATCTTATCGACTTGGCCCTCATTACTCCACCTTTTGATTTGGTTTGTCATGTCGCGCTGAAAGTCCTTGTCAGTGAGCGACCTGTCATCGAACTCTCGTCTCTGCGCTGGCGTAGCTTGGCCAGTAATTATGCGATTGATAAGAGTGACTATGGTTTGCCCAACGGCTTCGGTCAGTGATCATACAATTTATGTGGCTGGTCTAACGGAACCATCAAAACGAGAGATATTCGATTGCACATACAGGAACCGCTCTTTCTAATATATCTAGATCCGGACCTGGGTGAGGAACTTCCAGTAGCCAAAGACATTTCACTTGAAAACAGATCGTAAATGCAACTTCTCAATGGTAAAGCTTGCCTCGTGAAAAGGATCAGCAAAACAATAATATATGCACACCACGCAGCCCAGGTCAAACACCAAGTAAGACGACGATGAACGGTAGTAAAATCACCTCTTTATGATCACCCCATCCGCCCTCAGAGTATCCAGTCTGTGCGAGCTCCGCATCTGTTCTATTGACTCACGACTCACTCTGCGTTTTCGGATCGTTTTAAAATTCTACACTTTGGGACGATCATGGGTGCGAAACACATCGGGTTCTTTGTCGGAGAAGCCATAGCTGCGATCAGATCGGATTACATGCAAATCCGCTCCGACTTCCTGTCAGATATTCTGATTCAACATTTCTCAACTGACCATACGTAAGCACTCGTGTAACACTCTCCTTCGCGATAAGCATGCTTTTTGTTCAATGGCAGCTCCTGCAGAGTGACTTCTTATGCGTGCGTAAAAGTTCGGCATTCAGGGCTCATGTGGGGGAGTGAGAGGTTGGTTTCAGCAGCCTGAGAAAGTATAATTGACGATCAGACATAGTTCGCCGGACTTGTGAAATATAAGGGAACACGGCAGATTTCTTTCTTGCGAAGTGGCGTAATTGAGAATCTCTGCCTGCTTTAATACCACGACTGGGGACGAGGTTTCGTTCTACCAAGCCATCAAAATCAAAGGAAAGAATAAAGATTGCAATAAACATATATCCCTAACCTTGTGGTAGATGTGTATGCAGGGCAGCCTGAACCATCAATGTCTACGCAGCCATACCTGGTGAAAACAGATTTGAAACACTTCTAAGGCTGTCCGCCAAGCAAATTTTGTCCACCTCAATTTCACAGATCTAAGTTATGTTGATGACGTTCTTCCGGTGAATGACTCGTATGACAGGATGGTTTGACTGCAAGCTCGACCTAACGGTCGAGCTTGTGACAAACCAAAAAGGACCACGGGATGGTCTCAAAACAGACCAATCATCGACTGAGCCAGCGTCATGATTTTCAACGGCAGTCTAAATCTCCCATAAGACCAAATTAATAGCCCGTCGAAGGATCAAAGATCTACACAACGCGCCCAAAAGCGAGCAGGAATCAGATCCTGTTACAGTATGACTCCGGGAAAGCTACGTACCACGTGAACATTTTTCTTCCGCACGAGACATATTGCAAGGCACGGAACGAGGAATCACAACTATATAAATACCATCACCTTTTCCACTCAAACAGCCGTCTCTCCAAGATGATTCAGCTTAGTTTTACTCTTTCAAACTCTCTCGACGAGACAGCAACCAAAGAAATAACTGCTGCTCCCCAAAAGCTCGACGACAGAACTATCCTCACCTCTCGCAATCCAATGACCGGTGAAATATTCTTTGGTTCTCCTAGTGCGGGCCAGTCTGACTTAGATACGTTTGGAAGGGTTTTCAAGAATTGGCTTCGAGATCCGAACCCCTAAATTCTCACGTACCATATGGTCCTCGAATGATCATCAGGTCATTTGCGTGGGCGGCTCTCCTCTTCTCGTCAGCCACTTTTGCCGCCCCTGTCTCTGAGAACCCGCAAATTGTCGCTCGTGCAACTCTCGACAGCGGGTCGACTGGTCCTTCAATTGCTACAACCCAGGCATGCCTTGCCGTGGCATGGGAGATACGAGCAGTGGTGGGAGCCAGCCTGTTGGTTGCTCACCTAACTCCGCAAGTAGCTACTCTCAATGTCGGATCTAAATACTCCAGCGGGTATGTTATAGTGGCCTGGGTGATCGTCTGGAGGATATGAAAAATTTTACGAGGACTGATTTGCCCACTGACTTGCACTCATTTGAACAGACGGAAAGTCAATACGTTGGTATAGCTAGGAGAGTATTACCCGGCGCATTTGAACAATTGCCTTTTAGCCTTTTTAGATCCGGAATAAGCCTGCCTATGTAACGAATAAGAACAACTCCCACATTGAGCAAGCGGCACCGAACTACCGGTCAGAGCACCGGGGGCTTCCTGGTTTGGTCTCTGGTAGTACCATTGTTAGTGTTCAAATTGACGATGACGGATAAGAGCTTATAATTGGCAGATAAGCGCGCGGCCCACCAGATTATGCCCAATCAATGTCGCAGTAGAAAAACAAATCTGAATCATTAAGCCAAAGATGACCTAGCAAATATCTTTAATGGGTTTAAGGTTGCAATAGATGTCTGTCATTCGTTGAGACTAATTTAGACACTTGCGCTACTGAGTTTCAGCCACCAATGAGAAAAATGTCAAAATTTACGTCAGAAAGGTGGATAGGCAATTCCATTACCTACTCGATGAATCATTTGGTCCTAGGTCGGGAATTGACGTCTTCTGCCGTGAAAGTTTCTCCTGGAAGGAAACAGGAGGGTGTTCTCTCAAAAGTAGAGAGTTCCCCGCTGCCTTGAGCTATCTTAAAGGGCAATGGTTGTCTCACAAAGAGTACTTCGTTCATGTGTAGACTGACCAACAACTCAATTTTAACATTCGAACAACCTCGGTTGCAGAGGGGTTACATCCACAACTAAAGAATCACATTCTAACCAGTACGGAAGATCTCGAGCGGGTTCATAACCATATATCTCACTATTTGATTGAGATCAGCCTCTGTGGGTTTGACAGATTACTAATCAAACTGAAGTCTTGACAGAAAAGTCTCTTATTTTGAAATATTTAAGGATATTTTTCTATAAGATAATAATAGTCTTGGCGGACCCTTGGTCTGGATGAGAATTCAAGTAAACCCCTAAAATATATTGCTTGCTGAGATTTGACTTGATTTGATTTGATTTGACAAATCGGTTAAATAAAGCAAATTACGGTTTTGATTAAATAAGTAATCCAAGCAAACCAGGGCTCGATTTGTAGAGTTGATTTGATGGATACCCTGACGAGCATGAGGGTAAGTAGGACTAAATAGTGAGAATACGACCCTTTTCGGACTTCCGCCGCTGTGTTGGGGTGTTCAGGTGGGACCAAAGTGTGCCGTTACATTCTGCCCGTGAATTTAGATCCGGCTTCAGACTCCCGGTTCTCTCTGATACTGCTGAACCTTGATCTCCAATTCCGTCTTCTCTTAACAGACGTTGAAGTCGCTGACACGCATCTATTAATTGACACAGTGGAGCAGTACTTCCTTTTGCCCGTGCTCAAAGCAAAACCTGGATCCGTACGCTTTAATCAGCTCCTACCTGCCTTCGTTTGAGGTGTTAATACTATCTGGATCAGGAACAATAATCTCTTTTCTAACGTCTGGTGTAACATGCTTGGTCTTCGTCGCAGAAGTGCCGTCCTTGGCCCCTGTCCCACAATACAGAAAGCCCAGCAGAGGCGGAACGGAAGCAATTCGAGGAGTATTGAGGCCATCCGGACAGTAGGGTCAGCAAAAGCCTCTGGCTCGGCGCACGTCTCCTCCATCGTGAACAACCAGAAGACCGAGGGCGTCAAGATTGGACTGTCTGAAAGGAGTCAGTATTAGTAAGGTACATTTCACCGTGCTCGTCACTACAAGTATCCTTGCGGCAGTCTCTAGAAAATGCCCTAGGGGATTGGGATATGCAATGAGATGGTATTCTTGCCACACGCTTTTAGATAGTTGCTAAAATTAATTCACCAATTCTTCATACGTATTTTCAGGTAGTGTAAAGTTGGGAAGGAATGGGAGCTGCGGGAATTAAAATTTTGGATGTGACGCCAACCCAATAATGGTCCATCGTACCCTTCTTGGTTATAGCCTGCTCCGACTTGATGTTCTCAGTCAGTCAATACACTCTCCAAGCGTCTCCCAGAGTCCTCTTCCTTTCTGCTCTTCGCCTTTTCCGCTTTTGGCTTTGTATTCAGCGCCGTGTGTAAACACGATTCAGGGATGTAGGCCTTATATCACGTGCGATACCCTGACTAAGCCGCCCGTGTTGCCGTTGCCCCAATAATCGGTAATGTGAACAAGGAATTCTTTCATATGGACCTGATTAGCCACGGCCGTGGACCGTACTGCGTGATTCTTCCGGCTTCTCTCTGTATATAGGTATGAGGTTATAGGGGTGACTGAATGCCCTCTGAGGCCTAGAGGCCTGGTACGACGATTCATCTGCCCACCCATCCCTTTATCATGTCTTTAGCCCCTTGCGATAACTCCTGGGTAACGATTGTGGATGGGCGAGAAATGGCTGGTACGTTGTTAGCCGTTCCGCATCACATGATGAGCTAAAGCTTCTTGCGTACGAAGGTACTAACCATCCGATTTCGGCTCTGGATTGTTGACCCGAGCTCTTTTGATCAAGAGGTCCTGCATCATTCTCGGCCTGGTGCTCGTTATGACTCGTTTCGTTTTGACTTATTGGATCCCAGCATACATGCTCAAGAGCCTGCTCTGCTGACCAGCGTTCTTCAGGTTCCCACACTAGTAACTTCGAAACCAGGTCGACCAGAGGCTCGTCCTCAGTTATCTTGTAACAGTGAGCACGAAGCATCTCAAGAATCGCCATGTGTCGGTTACGTGTAATTTGAGGATTATTAGTGTGATAGCCATCTAGACCAGGATATCTGGCAACAGAATACCCCAGGATTTCCGCAATAGCGTAACCATAAGCCCACATGTCGATCTTTGCAGTGTATGGGCCGTCTGTAGATATAGTCCACACTTCAGGAGCTAACGTACAGATTGGACCGATAGTTGTAACTGTAGAGCTGGCTGCTTCGATGGCTTTGCCATAGTCGCAGAGTGAAGCTTGAGGGGGTTTCACTGACATGATCAGTATATTCTTTATCCTGATATCACGATGCATGATGCCCATTGTGTGTAACATCCTGATGCCTTCGAGTGGTTCTCTTAGCAAATGCAATTTAGTCCTCCGAGGAAATTCTGGACTTGACCAGAAGTTCAGAGTGAAGTCAGAGCGTGCGTATGGCATAAATATATAGAATCTTTCTAATGTGCCACAGCCATTGGGTCTACCGTGCTCGCATTGGGCTTCCAGAATAGGAAGGAGACCTCGTTTGTTCTGTGGTGTATTAGATACTAAAAGGGTGTTGCTAGGATTCGACTTACAAGAAAACGCCTCCCCATCTCCACCTCAGCCATAGTCTCAACACACTTCCTTTGGCTATTGATACGGAGTTCTTTAATAGCGATTGGATTCCCTGTCAGGGTGTCTACTCCCTGAGTTATCCACCCGAATGCTCCAGATCCCTGTGTCTCGAACTCAAGACATCTGCCTCTGAGCACGTAGCTGTCTCCCGGCATCTTCTGAAAAACCAGCTGTACAGGTTCTTTGCTTGAGGATATCTTCTTCAGAAAATTATTCCTTCGATCAAAGTACGCCGTTCTATGTTCTTTCTCAACCGTATACTCCAACTCATATTCGCATGAACCAGCCCGAAGCATTGTAGCAGGCTGATACATCAACCGTTCTTCTTGGTACTCCAGCTTCTCCCATTTTCCACCCACCTTGAACTCCACCGGTGCTTTTTGGCTCCCTGCTCTGAGCATAAGAAATCCTGATCTGAGATTGAAGATAAGGACCATGTGTATGCCGGCCAATGATTTGCTTAGAAGGTCGCCCGGTCTCGCCAACAATATGTCGACACCACGATTTGCTGGCGATTTCCTAGATCCTTTTCCAACTCTCCAGCCTAAATGAGGCAACTCCGCAGTCCGGTCCTCGTGGAAGGAGAGCACAAAATGCCCTGCCTGCTCTACACCTTTCACTCGAGAATCTTCGCTATCAGTTTCAGGGTAGGTGTCATACTCGGTGGATTCTTCTACTGGCTCGCTCGAAGCTCGGGGCTCGAAGCTCGGGGCGATATGTTGACCTTGCGCTCTATGAAACGCAAATGGAATGTTTTGTTCTGTTCCACGTAGAAGACTGTGTCCGAGAACAGCACTTGAGCGACACGGTTGCGGGGTACAAGTCTGGCAAAATCGCCATTGAATGCATAACTCATGTCTTGCTTGCAGGAGTGGATCATAAAGTCTTAAGAGAAATATGGCGCCTTAACCGGGTACAGGTACTCGGTAGATTGAAATATGCTGCTTAGATTTGCTTAGGCGTAGTCAATTAGTGGAAGGAAGGCTTTTCTTAGGTTATGAATATCTTCACAAAAGTAGATATATGAGCAGAGATTAATTTCTCTGTTCGCTGATCATAAATCTTACTTGGCGTTCTGATCGTTGATATATACAAGAATGGTTTCACTCAGGAAATAAGAGCTTCGATCATGTTGCCGATTGCATGGAGGCCAAATGAAGAAAAGACTCTGCACTTAGCCACTATGCTTTGGGGCCACAAATTCACAAATTGTGAAAGATGCAAAAAGAGTGATCTTTCTCAACGGTATCGTGGCGTTCCTCCAATAACTCTACACTCCAAACCTAGCGAGGCTCGAGTTAATATCCGAGATTATTAGGTACCATAAGCTAAGGACCTTTTCAAGATCTCTCAAGCCACTCTTGAGATCAACAGACTAGCATCGCCTTCGGCGGTTCATGCCTCATCGCCCTGGATAACTTCCGAACATCCTGTAAAGGTAACGTGTACACGATCGACGGTATCACGACAGGATGGCGAAGAGCGTGGGGTTAGCTGTAGTAGCATGAGATCAGTGAGTAATTTTCACTCCTGCCCTACATGCTAGAAGTTTATGGCAAGCTGAAACCCAGCTGCCCACGAAATTGGTTTGCGTTTGCAGAGCCAGCTGCAATATACCACCATTTCTCAAAATTGTACACGTGACAGCGTGGAGGCCTTTTGCACGCCTTGTAAATCTTGGTACGATATGTATATTGTGCTGTGGGCTGATCTCCACCATAAGGTGAAAGAGCACTTTTTTTTGCTATACCAGCTTCAGATGGCACCGAGGTTGAGGCAGTGTCGCAGTAGGAACGGATGGTTGAGTATGTGCTGTCAGCTTTTCTGGATTCGATGGTGATTTCGGTGCTTGTGCTGTTGACGAGATCTTGTTCTATGTGAAGGGAGGGCTCTTAAAATGCTGATCGCGGGAGTGGTAGAGAGAGACTGTGGGGTCTTGCCGTCGAGACCAAGCTCATAAAACAAAGACGCTGTTGAGACTTTAGATCGAGTCAATTTTGTTAGGCGTGAGATCAGCGGAAAGTAGGTCTCAATGCCTCTGTCTAGACTCACCGCTTCGAAACTGTTGCAGCAGATCGAGATCGCGTTGTATGAACCTTCGAGTTCTGTGAAGGAACAGGAGCTGCGATTCTTTGCGAATGGTCAAATCTCGGCTGGTCAAGTCCTTGTCCCTGTCCTTCGCCTCTAGGTGTTAATGGTGGGCTCAACGGGGCAAGATGAGCATCGTCATAATCGGAGTCTGACCCCAACTCTGACCACGCATCTGGTGCACTAGCAATTCGGGCAGCGTGCGCAGCGCGGTATTCATCTACCCCTTCGTGAAGCCGATCGAGATATTCTTGGGAGTAGCCAAGCAGTCTATGAAATGCATCATCTGCTGCTCGATCCCATTCCCACGACATTATGTTGATGGATGTTAGAATTAATCGTGATCCGGAGGACAGTTGAAGAACTACTAGTAGTCAGTGTGTATCAAATCAATCGTGCCAAGACACATCGTAGGGCTGAGATCGAGTCGTCCATCTACTCGAGCACCGAATCAAAGCTGAAATGTGGCTTATGGTCTTCCCTACCTTCACGCAACTCAAACGCACAAAAACTCTATGCTGTTGCAGCACATTCTCAAGGGGAAGAAACGGGATACATCCGAGAGGTTAACTTCGCTCTGAATGTCCGGACAGATTGTTCCCTGAAGCAGATGCGACCGCATGTCCAGGTCCCAAAAAAACAACCCCGTACGTTATATTCCTCAAAAGTCTCGCCGAACCGAAGCTCTCCACCACCAGATCACAGAAAACGACAGCGTAGAGATTTCGATGAGGCCTAATGACGAACATCATCATTGCGGACAGATATGCCCGGGTAGACGATGAAGTGGCATTCTCAGCAACAGTACCGCTGGCAACGTGGGCATATGCCAAATACCAGGCAGAGGCTGTCGATCCATCCGCAAGCATGAACACTGAACCCGAATCTCTACCCAGCTATCCCACCTTCACAACCAAACCGTGAAAAAAGTCATCTACCTCGGACGACAGGTGCACGCAAACACGACTCAACAATCTCCGCCGCCAGCGAACAGAAGCGAAAGCAGCATCGATCCCATCAGAACCAGACAGCGTGGCCATCCATTCCGTTCCCGAGTCCCTTGCCAGCTGTTTCAGCATCAATCAATCGACATGATACCTAGCCTTCATCCATTCCCCTTCATCCTGCTACGATTGCCATACTGGCCCTCGCACTGCTATCGCCTCGCTCCATCGCAGGCCCACTCACATTCTTCTCACATTGTTGTGTCAACTCCTTTACCCGTTGACTGACTTACTCACCCACGGCAGGTACCGTAGGCAGGGCGAGAAAGTCGGACTCCCAGAATGTTGCGGGATGCTGTACTTATTGTGTCTTCGAATATATGAGGGGGCATCCTTAGCGAAACGACCAGTGGGCTACTTGCATGCCGTGCTTAAAGTGTTGTCTCTGCTTAGGCGATTTATGGTCGAGATGGACAGAAAGCCGTTCCTCTTATTACAGTGGAGAGCGCAACATCCGCAATGGAATCATCTTACGATGGTGCCGCTACTCTTTGTTTTTTTGGCCTGGTGATATGGAAGGATAGTGAGATAGAAAAGGTGCCACGCTCCGCCTGACCGGCCATTCACATATAAGTGCGGTAAGACTGTGTTATTATTGTCTACGAACCGCCACTGCTTCCCGTACAATCCTTCTGCCAGCTTCGGCGTCCCGTATAACAAATTTCAGAGGTATACAATCTCACCCTCCCTATACTGCATGTCAATGTCTTCTATACCTCTCTTCCCCTTATCCATCCCACTCAATTCATTCACCAACCGGCATACTCTCCACCTCCTCCTGCAAACCCCTCCAACAACTGGCCTGCAACTCGCCAAACTTGACCCGCTCCGCACTCCAATCCTGCACCAACCGACTAACTTGCCAGATACTCGCCCCACTAAAATACCTAATCTCATCCCGGACACACTCCCTGATAAAAACACCCCTGGCATGCTGAGCGACAATACTCTCCTTATCCCTAATAATACTATTCTCCACCTTCTCAATCTCACCGGGCTTCACGCTGCCTGCCGGTTTCAGGCGTAGCGTCTCCAATTTCTGCTCCGAGACCTCGATCCGGCGTTCGAGCTGGGGGATATTGTCGCGTGCCAGCCGGTCGCGACGGTCGAACATATCGCGCATGCCGACGAGGGAATCGCGTTGTTTCTTGAAGTCTTCGAGCACGCCTTCGTCCCAGGCTTTGGCTTCGTCTTCTAGCAGGGTTTGCGACGTGGACAAGTGTTTGGCCGTTGCATTGATCCCTTCGTTCAGGAGCGGGACGTCGTTGGTGTCGATGGCGTAGGTGTCCATGCTGTTTTCTGTGAGGCTGGTTAACGCTAAGCTAAAGCGCAGGCTGTCAGCTGCGAGGCCTTCGTTGCGTTTGGCGAGCCGTTCGAGCAGCGTGCACAGTTGGATGTAGATTTCCGCGGAGCGTTTGACGCCCGCACGGACAGTGTCGAAGGTTTCCGCTAGGCTGGCTGGGAGGCTGTCCTCGAGATCTGGGGGCAGTGGTCTGTCGGCGAATTCCTCGGTCACGGAGATGGTGGCTTGTTTGCGCCAGACTGAGAGTTCCTGATACTGGGTGATTAGTCAGTCTGCCTGAGACCTTCGAATGCTAGCGGGAAAGGGGAAGGTAGTCTTACAGTAGGTACTGTGAGAAACATTATGACAAGTTGCTCTTGGCTGAGGACTGGATGCTGGATAAGGGCGTTGGTGAAACGGACGAGACCCCGACGGCGCTTTTCGAGGAAGGAGGACGAATCGGCTGCGAGATGCGTTCCGTTAACTTTGCGCAACTTGTCAGCTTCAATGCTGATGGATAGCATACCCGTACATACCTGCTACACGTTTCGGAGGGAGAAGAGGTATCCGTCTGAAAGGGTATTTTTTATGCAAACAGTCCAGAAGCCACACAAAATCACTGTACCGGCGCACAACGCTGCTACCTCGACGCACGGATTTGACTTCGTAATTCCGATGTTGAAACAAGAACATGCCTTCTTTGTCTGGAAGCATGGTGACGACAATGACCTCTCCTGTGCCGTGGGGGATAGCTGTACTTAGGCCGCTCGACCTGGGCTGGTTACCTGACCTCCGGTTGCCATGGTCGTCATCTCCTGCGTCGCCAAATCCGCCGCCTGATGTAGGTCGTTCAGGGAACCCACCTGCTGAGCTTCCGTTGTAGGTATTCCACTCTCCACCATCGTCTGTCGGCGGCGTATCTCGTCTTGCGGCATTGTTTCCATTCGACGTAGGCTCACCGTGTGTAGTGAATTCGCTTGTCGTTCTTTGCGACATGTTACGGGCGGACAAAGGCTGCTCGGTTTCGGCGACGCCATTGGCCTTCTCAGCCGGAGAAGGTGGACGAGGGGCTAGAGGTTTGGTCATAGCAGGACTGGCCCAAGGATCCGACTCTGGGTCTCCAAGCGAGTCTTGGCGCATTCTTCGAGGTCGTGACGAGTTCGTTTCTCTGGGAGAAGTTCCTGATGGAGGCGTGATAGCTGCTTGTGATGGACGAGTACGGATATCTCCCTCACGTGCCTGCGTCCTCAGTTTGTTGAAATAGGAGATCTTCGGCTGAGGCAGTTCTGCTTGCCATCATCAGCGACGTCTAATCATCAGATCCTGGGATTTTACTTTTTCGCCTTTCATCCACACCATCCAATGTGATATCGTCACCTTCCTGTCCCAATCCAATCAAGGCAAGTAGCACGTTGAACTCGCTTCGGCTAAGGCCATTGGCACTCTCTTGTCCTCCCGGTACGACGAAGTTGAGGATCTTTGCTTGCTCGACGCCAGATAGGCCGCTGCTTGCAAGGATATTCTTGACGCCCGTCAGTCCGATGCCTGCGCCAACACGATCTTTGGAATCCAGCATTGTGTCGTACGAGTCGATGTAGAACTCCGGAACGTCTGTCGCAGGAAGTAGATTCTTGACAAGTTCACGTCTGGCAGCTTTTTTCGGCGTGGGCATGATCCATGGCGATGTATCGCCGGCGTCGTCTGCGAATAGGGAAGAAGTGGTGGTCGCCGCAGTCTCACTCTCGTCTCCGAACAGTGACTTTGAATTGGCGTTGGAGCTTGTGTAAGCGGGTTCGGGAGGTGAAGTCCCAAACAAGGACATTGTCTGACGTTGGATATTTGCTCTCCTCAATTGCGAGCAGATTTCATGCTGTGACTCCAGAGAATGGATGTTGGTTCAAGAGAGGATGTTCCCTGGAGAATACGAGTAGAGAGTAGACCAGGCAGATCAACAAGCTCCATACCTATAAGTCGTCATGGGGAGCTAGCCAGTCGGCGGAAGCCAGAGCTGACCGTTAAAGCCAACCAGCACCATCGCCGTGTATCTATAACTACTGTCATCCTACTACGTAGTATATAACAGCACTGTGGAGGATGCAGTGATGAACACCCTGGTCATGTAGTATTCCATTTTGGTCTGTAATGCCCACCGCTATACCTCGCTCAGACCCCTGGAGGCTCGTAAACTGCACTATCCATCGTCAAAATCCAGACCACGGCCGCTCTACCGGCGTAGGTGGAGACATCAAGAAGTTAAATAGCATATCTAGAAAAGAACATCCAATCCTGCTTCATATACATCGCTCAAAATGCCACTCACGGGACTCCTACAACTGTCCACCCGGCAGGTTACCCAGCGTACGAACACTAGCCCCAGAACTCATTGTTGCGCCACCAACGCCCAGGCCCGGGGCTCTTATACCAGCCGAGCTTGGAGTCTCAACCGAGGGAGCAAGTTTGCGAAGCATGAACATCGGCTTCTTGCCTTCGCTGTCCAGGGCTTTGAACAAAGCCAGTGGCTTTTCCTCCAGTTCAACGCAGCGCTCCTGGTCCCCGTAGACGATGTAAAGAGCGTACTGCCGCCAATCTGCTTGAATGTTGTACCTGCGAAGTGCCGCAGGAAGCACCTTGTGACACGGATCCTCTAAGCCAACACGGAATGACTTGAAGATCTCAACAGAAGGTGTATCAGCGGACGGACCACTACCGGAAGCAGATGTCGGTACTGGTGTCGCAGATGATGCGCCATTCACGGAGCTGTACGTTGATGGTGCCGCAGTGGAAGCCGTAGAGAAAGTGTTGACGTTAGGGTTCCTGGAAGAAACGTTCGAGTTCATTGAAGTTGCTGAACTGGGCGGGTCTCTGGCATTGGGTGGTGTATTAGTCGGGACAGGGCGAGAAGACCTGCCGACGTCGGGATAGTCCTGTATGTTGCGCCCACCAGAAGGTGTTGTCCCATCTGCGTAGGAACGATTTGCAAGCATTGCAGGCGGGTACGGTAGCGGAGATGTTGGAGATGGCTGTGGAATGGCAGAGGGCGAATTTGCTGGTGGTAAGGCGCTATGAGACATAGCTGCTGTAAGATTATTGGAGGCCGCGATCGAGGCCGCCGAAGGGTCGAGCGGAGACGCATCCGACAGGGCCTTCCCCTCGTGGATGGTAGAGGGTATATGCGTTGGAGAGTGATTCTTAGGACCGGACCCGAGGAACAACTTTTTCTTGTTTAGAGACAACGTTCGAGACAAGCCGGTCTTCTCAGGAGGCGCCTGCACGGTAGATGGTGAAGTCGCTTCAAGGCTATAAAGCTCCGGACTGTTTGCTGACACATGGTAGCCGGGAACGTTGGGAAGCGGTTCCAACCGCTCCTTTGACATCTTAAACACTGGAATGAGTTCCTGACGCAGTTTGCTATATGCCTGGGCCAGGTGCCTTAGCTGCTCTTCTGCCTGCTCCATGCGCTCGTCCCTCAATTTGATAATGGACCGTGCCCATCTCTGAATGTCTTCCTTGGTGGCGGTTTCGTTCTGGACGCTCTGCTCTGCTGCTGCGAGGAAATCAGTACAGGACCCTAGATCAAACACGCAAGTGGCATACAGAGCGGAATATAGTGGTCTGGTTCAATAGGTATATCTTGATTGACCTTGACATCGTATACGCTTTTCAGGATGGTGAGCCTATGACCCACGCTTGCGATACCCATCTCCTTGAGCTCTTCATGTCGTAAGGCTACGAGTGCCTCTCCAACAATCTCGTTGTCTGCGTACATTATGGTGTTAGTCTGGCCGTGGCTGCAAAAGCGGCTGGGAGACTCCTACCGATTATAGCATCGCAGTATTGCCGAAGTCCCAGGCTGGAAATGAATTGTGCGCATTCTTCCGCTGTCCATTCGGTGATAATGGTACGGGGTAAATTGTGATCATCCCCACCATTGCCATATGTCGTTGGAGTATTTTCGGTAGAAGGAGGTTCCGAATCAGTGGGAGAGGCTTCCGAATCGGTATGTAGCTGAGTAGGAGACGTCATCACGCTTCGTTCGTACTCATCATCGGCGTCTGAGTCGGCGTGGTAAGCAGTACCAGAAGGGAATGCCATCTCCGGGCCAGATGCAGTGAAGAAAATCCTCAGTAAAGCTGCAATTCAGTCTCGCCGCCTGAGTCAGCGATAGCATTGATGAAGGCCCGACTGATTGTATCAGGATCGAGCTGAAGAGAGTGCTGTTACTTTGACTGTCACAGCCGTGCCCAGGCGTTGAGTGCTTGTCCCTTGAGGTGCGCAGATTCAAGACGTGGCCTGGTACTAGACCCAACTCCACCAGGACAAACGCTTCTGCAAGGCTGAGGCCTATTGTAACTTCGTTCAGAAGATCGCCTAGAGCCGAGAGATTGGATTGGTGATAGAGCTCTTCAACAGCTGTCGTCACCCTTGTCCATACTGGTCTCACTTGGGTGCGATTCTTTGTTTAGGAAGCAAATGATATTGGCCGCCAGGGGTCGATATGTGTCAGCGCGACTGAGCCTTTTCTCTGGGAATTCCAGGGACAGTGATGCTTCCCATACTGGTACGGCGGTTGGGCTGTTGGTGCCCAGGCTTCGAGGCTTCGAGGCTTCGAGGCTTCGAGGCCTAGCGCCGACGATCACATGATCTGCTGGCCGATCATGGACCTAACTATATTCGGAGCCTTCCAGGTGTAGCCGCTTCCGTTCACCGTTCAGGAACATCCTCCTCCTGGTCACCATAGCAAACAGCGATTAGAGTATCGCCAGCTTACACACCTAAGTCTATAAATGTCAAACCCAACTACAGATTCAAAGACAACGGACGGATTCATTCACGTATTCCCAATTGCTAGCGACTACCGAGTAGCAACTACTTGGCACCTCGTTTACTTCATCCATGACACATACCTGTAACACCAAGAGGGTGTCACAGTATCAGCCTCTCAAAGCTGTACCGTCCAATATTGCGGCTCTTCAGATGTTGCAACTCTCTTGCAGTTCTTTCAACTGTCTCGCCTCCACCTTTCCTTTTCTTGGTCTTGCTCACACTGTTTTCCAAATCCAGGCTCAGTGGTAAAAGAGATGGTCCTTCTCGTATACAACGACTTTGCTCTTCCATTGAGCCCGTGTTTGCCTTCATGATCGCCACTATTTCCCTAGTTGGCTTTTCGAATTGATGAAAAGGAGAGTCGGTTGGTAGGGCTTGGTTGCTTGTTGCTGCGTTTCCATATCGGAGTACCTCCTGAATCACGCCCTTCAGATACGTGGCTTCTTCTATGCCTGCTAATGCGAGCGAGACCTCACTTTTGAGGTCTGGAACGAGGTCTTGCCACAAACCCTGATCGAAGGTGGAACCGAGGAAGCCCGACGAACCAAGAGCATCTATACAGCTACACAGGACCAAAACAGTCGTCTCGACCGCCAGTGTAGCGTCCTCCGAGGCAACGCAAGAGGTTGATGAGGAACTCGTGCAGCCACTCTGAAACAACTGTTGACGAAGAATTTGAATAAGTGCCAGCACCACGTCTGTGTCAAGGTACGTGCGGATGGCCGTGGTTATCTTGACAGGTGAGAAGCTGCGGAGCATGTCCAGTGTCCGAACCAAGACAGCAGTGCAAGTTTCCGACCAGCTACCCGCCGGAGCAGAGGGTGAAGATTCCAAGGTAGAGATTTTTTCCGTATGGTTAATTGGTTCCTCTGGTATTGTTGCATGAGGATACTCTAGGAGTTGCTGTGGAGGTGCCATTCCTTGTACCCTTGCCGCCGCATCCTTGATGAGGACCTTTATAATCGTAACAGCCTCATCCAGACCTGACACATTCGCGCCCCGTAAGTAATCCGCCAACAAGCCGAGTGACGGGTCTTGCTTCATGATGGAGATGGCAACAGCACCTAGCCTCAACTGCGGTTGCGAAAGCTCGGATGACGATGCACGTTCAATTTCAGACGTGCGAAGGTGGCTGTGAAGAGCAAGCCACCTGAACAGTGTAGGAGGGAAGAAGACGATGACCACATCTGCCTGGTTGTTCTCGTCGCCAAAAACAGATGGAAGGACGGAGGCATGGAATATCTTGGACAAGAGATAGTGGATCCTGTCATAATTCACAAATTGGTCTTCGCTGGGCAGCTTGATGGGTGTGTGCTTTTTACAATCCTTCTCTTCTGCTAGTGTGTCCCGGAGCTCGTCTGCCATAAAAAGCTCGAACTCTGTAACCTGATCTCTCTGCACCAGCTCATCTAAGGTCTTTTGTCTAGCCTCCCAGCCGGCTTGTTCAAGCTGATTTGGTACGAAAAGAGCTTTGACAAAGCCGGGTCCCATTTCAGCTTGGGTATGAGTGGTAACCCTGTTAGAGGTGTATGTGCTACTTCCAAGAGACTCAATCAGGAGACTACTTGTCTGAGGTGGGCGTTGAGTCTTCACTCTTTCTCTGGGTAAATTGAATGTTGTGAGGTTTCGACCTCGTACCGCAACTAAGACGTTGATCTTTGCGAAATACAATATAAACCGGACAGCCTTTCGGGCACTGTCTTCTATTCCACGGCGTCTCGACTTGGTACCCAGGCCAAAACGTGCCTTCACTGATTGGTAGTTTATGTCATATATCTGTACCGCAGAGCGTAACGCACCAGCAGCTGTGTTACCATCGAGAGCGAAGAGTGAGGAATGGCCATCGTCGAAGGCAAGCTTGGAAGAAATATCTGGGATGTAGGCAGACAGGTCATAATTAATGAGCTCGTTCCTTGATGAGACGGACAGCCTGGCAGAGGGCGCGTGAAAATCGATGTGGAGATCTGTAGCGATACTCCAGCGCTTTGACTCGGGTAGTGGATTGCTGAGCAATAACCGCAGTTGGCCAGAGCTTGATGAGGTGAAGCCCATCTGCTGAGCCATTGGCACATTAAATACACCAACTCTAAGTCCTGACTTCTGATGGTCTCCGTCACGATGGACAAGAATAAGAAATGAGGAACCACAGGCAGCGCAGTCTTTCAAAATATCTTCCCTTCTTTGCAGCAGTCCAGTACTGGCGTCTACATTACTGACCCAGTGAGCAGATAGGACTTCAGGGGGGAGTGCTCGCCCTTCAGATTGCTGGACACTTGCTGCCACCCATCTCGTATGCTTTAAATCACTAGAAAGCCTTCTGACAGTGCCATTATGGTGAACAACGATGACATCCGGTGACAACTCTGGCTGACCTCTGTTCGCATCGATTGGAATGAACTCGATGTGTATAGCTGGACTTTGTTCTTCAATGATGTGGCTGTGACTCGAAATCACTGGTGTCTCCGTGTGCTCAAATTTCTCCTCGTAACATTGTATCCTTTGTTCTGGTGTCTGGACTGCGCAGGCCGTGTATCTTGTGGTCTTTGAACCCAGGGATTGTCGTTGGCGCATGGAACATGGTGGGCATGAGAACAAACATGTTGGTGGAACAGCATAGGATGAGACAAGCTTCGATCCTTGTACCTTTTAGTCGTCAGCGTCCACTTTAACTTCGCACGTTTTATCACATACGTCGTAGATGTTGAGCGCCTCCCCATCAACTGCTGCAGCGATCTCAGTTCTCTTACGTTTCCTCGATCCTGTGAATCCATAACAAGGCCCAAATTGAGTCCTAGCGTCAACACCTAATAATGACTGGGGCAATTGTGCCAGCACTGTTGGGGTCATGACACTCATGCTGGGACTGCAATAACTGAATGCCCACGCTGGGAAAACGGGCGTATGGTGCCCTCAAAATTTCATTTGATTCTTCGGAGTTACAGGTGGCTTAAACCCGGTGTGTCCTTGGCACGACTTCTGTAGGAATGGTGCGTGAAGGCATCACAAATTTACACAACCGATCGCATGGAATCTGTAGTTCAAGAAATGTACTCAGCTCGAAAGTGTTACTGCCGGTTCTTCAATGAAACGCTCTGAGGCGGACTGGACTTTGCTGGAGAGCGAGGATCTGGTTAAGCGAGTTGTACCGCTCACGCCTTCCAGCCCCTGAAAAATTGCCTGCTCTCAGCATCTTTAAAACTTAGCACGAAGATGGTTCTGTACAACTTAAACCAACAACATGCAGGCCTCGACCGTCAAGTGGTCTTGGTCTTGGCCCACTGAGCCATGAAGCTCTGCGCTCCAGCCATGAACCCTAGAAGCCCAATGACACCGCTATTTACTCCCTTCAGCCCGTTCTGCAAGCTGTAATGCAGACAGACAGGCAACCAACAGCTTGCGACGAAAACCTCGCTCCACCACATGCGATCAGCTTTCTGTTGCTTCTCGATTTCAGTCTCCATTCTCCCCTTCCTCGTTCGCCTCAGTAGGACCCCGTTTTCTGGGTCGATAACAGCCTCCCGGAACAGCCTCAACAAGTCGCAGCAAACACCGATGAGCCAGGCACGACTGCTCCACAACCACCACTTTGCACTCCCACCTCTCTTTTCCAGCCACTTTCGTGACACGATACCTCGATCCGCCAGGAAGACTACGTTTTCTGTGAATTGGAAAATGATGTAGGATATACATTGAGCTAATGCGATAGCTCTGAGTGATCGATCCTGCCTCCCGTTGTTGTTCACCAGTTTCCGCAGCCAGACATAAAGCGGTAGAAGTGCCGTAAGGCGAAGGGTGATGCGGGTATCTGATATGAGACTTGCAAGTGTGCCAAATGGAGTAGCAGATGGTGGAATGCCCTGTAAAGGCTTAGATGGTGTATTCTGAGATCCACGTGTCCCGGCATTGCTGAGCTTTAACAACCGCTGCAGCAAAGTCGCTTTTGAGGGTGACTGAGCCTCTAAGTATGCTAAGATATACAGCGTATAATTGAGGGTCGATAAGAATGTATCCAGACCAGTAGCTGTTGTCAAAAGTCTACCTAGGACATTTAGAACTAATCAGACTGGACGGTACTAGGCGTCGAGCCTTGAAAGGGGTGATACCTTTGAAGTCGAACAATGGATTGATCAGTCGCTGAGGCATATCGCTGCAAGACAGATGGTGAATTGAAATCCTGCTTTGGGTTGGATATTTCAGGGGAAAGTGGCAGAGGGCCGTCTTGTGCCCTCAGGTCAGACTTTGCGTGTGTAGCAGACACATCTGTAGCTGAAGACGCGCCAGTTGACGGCGTCGCGTCAGCCATCTCGAGTGTATGTTATATTACTGACATAAAGAGTGAAGATAGGACACCATCGCAGCCTTGGAGGAGTAATGAGCAGACAATGGTGTACTCCGAGGTTGTCCTTGAGCCGCGGCTTATACATAGTGTGCTACTTAGTAAGTAGTATGCCAATTAGATATTGCCCGTCGCAAAAGTATTGCAATTTTCTTGGCGGATGCATCCGAGCCCGAGCCCGTGCCGCTCCTCTGATTTACTTAAATACTTAGCTACGGAGTACAGATCACATGTATTTCTTACATACACAACTTTATCTAACTACTTAATCTATCATTTTTAGACTTCTGAGACCAAAAAACAGCATAATTCAAGTTCGGCGGATCCATACCCATTGAATGATATATATTTTTCTGTCATTCTGTTCAATAACTTAAGTAAGTATTTGTGGATTTAATACAAACATCCAGAGCAGCAGCAGCTCCGAAGCATCCGCCAAGGGATTGCAACACTTTTGCAATGGGCAATAAGATAAGATCGGTTGTCACAATACCACGACTATTACCAGACCACGATTCTTACATGACTTCCAAGTCGTTGAGTAAACGTAAGTCTAAAGGAACTGGCCCGCTATCTCTGACGACATGGTAGCAGACAGGAAAGGACAGATAGACTACTTCTGAGCCTACAGTCAGAATGCAGGATAAGTAAGTATCTTAGACATTCACCTCGATTGGGTCCATTCTGACCTTAGCTGTAAACTACTAGTAGTTGACATCATCCTTAAAAGCACGTCCACCTTTTTCGAGCGCGCTGTCAGCTCGTAGTAGATATCAGTGCTTGTTTTGCATAGAAGCTTGACGGGCTCGCCCAGGTAGTTCTCCATCTCTCTATTATATTTGGCGCTACACCCACGCCTCACACCTCACACTTGGATGATTATGTCGGCGGCACTCATCTCGACACCCTCTTCGGTGACCGCCACACCATCCTCAACCTTGACCTCACCACCTTCAAGGCTTTCAGAGTCCTCCGAAGCACGCGGAAGGGGCGTGTTAGCTGCAAGCATGAGAACAAGGGATTCCTGGAGTGCCCTGTTCGTAACGATTGTGTTCTCCTTCTCTTGCTTGCTGGATTTTTTCAAAAACATCGATCGGGACATCTGGACCAGGGAGTCTCGACTGGATGACTTGCTTGAGTGCCTGCTAGTATTGCTAGATTTCGCGAGATGTTTGGATTGATCAATAGCACTAAGAACCCTCTTGACCCTCTTCCTAAAGCCACCCCGTTGCCGAACCTTAGCTCCTGTCTCCTCGGTCTCTGATGGAGTCTCACTGTTTTCACTGCTTCCCAAGGTCTGCGACCCAGTCAGATCTTTCAATTTGTCGAGTTTCTGATGCACTCGCCGTAGCTGTGGGCGTGGTAGAGGTGTCCCTAATCTCTTCAACGTATTCGCATCTGAGATCCTACGATTCTCCAATTCCCATTGTGGTGGCTGTCTGACAGGCTCTGAGAGAATAGCATTGAGAGATTGGAAAGCGCGATCCCGATACGCCGGTCGACAGCTCTGACAGCATTTGAAGTGACAGTTTGGAAAGAGTGGCTCCACACGAGTCCTGTGAAGGCCGGTTGGCAGTGGTGTATGATTTCCGCCGTAAGCAGCGGTCGATTTCGTTGCAGGTAGACTACAGATGTTTTTGCTCCTCGGCTGCAATGCTTCTGAGATCTTAACAGTTGCCAGTGCCGTGCTTTCTGGTAGCGAATCTGAGCTTGAAAGACTTCTAGACGTCTGAGAAGAGTCTGGTAAGTTTTCGAGCCTCTCCTCTTGCATTGCTATCAGTCTCCTCACTCGAAGCTTCTGCGCCTCAAGCAAGTGGACTTGCGGCGTAGTGTAGTCACCATCTTTGATACCTCGCAGAATGCTTTGGCTCAACTGGCTAGTAGCGACCCCATTGCTTAGCCGACTGTCAGAAGCCTCTGATTCTGTGCAGGTGAAGTCCGACTCCGGCAAAAAGCTATCGTAGTCTTGTGTACATCGGTAGAGCCAGCCGAAGGAGGATGTTCGACCACACATCTGACATTTATTGCTCTCAAGGGGGTCGAAGAGCCGCGTGACATTAAGGTGAGTGCATGCCGCCTGCCGTTGTTCCAAGGTAGGCATCTTCGGACATTGGTATCATCAAGCTGAGGGCTGATCAGAAAATGGGATACACTTCATTAGACTCTGAGACGACAGTGATGGAAAGGCACCAAGACAGAATTAATCTCACCTGCTGCGAAACTTTCCAGCTTTGTTTGTTGTTGTTGTTGTCGCTGCTTTGGTTTTATTTTTATTTGCGCTATAACTTGATGCAGCCAGGGCGGTGTTTAAAGATGAAAGTGTTTGATAGTAGGACATCATTCAGGGAGGGCACCAGTATCATATACCCACTCCCATATTCCCACCTTCTTGCTCTGCACTGCATTGCACTGCACCAGGTTGATCATAGCATATTGCTTACGTGGAAAGTTAGCCAACACCAGTCCACTTCCGTCCACTTCCGTCATGTAACCATCTCCTCTTCTCTATCTGCTTCTGTCACTGATATTGCAGCGCAAGGTCCACTCTCTGCTGGTGTTAGATCAAGATGAGAGGGTGACCAGCAATACTTACATTGATAGGTTTCTAGAGTAGCTTTTCAGCATGAGGACCTCATCTGAGATGGTGGCATCAGCTCCATGATCCGGCTGGTTCTAAGGCCGTAGGGCCTCAAGCCTTGCTCAAAAAAAGCCGGACTCAACACGGCCGCTGGTTGGGCATTGTGATATGCGGTTGTGATGGAATCACTAACTGCATTATATCAGCTCCACACAAGTGTCGTCGCTTTGATGGCTGATGCTGTGGCAGATTACTATTCGAGTAGTGTGCTTGAGCCCCGGTACGTGATGTGGTTCACGCTGTTCCATATTCTTCCTAGCCCAACGTAAAGTGGTCCGGAGGTCCCTTGTGCCTCAAGACAAAGCACGACAGCCCTGCATTGCCGGTCTTGACTTTCGCCTAGAACTGAGAACTAAGTTACTTTTAGCTTGGCACGAGCTCTGGCACCCTGCCACCCGCGTCGCAGCAACACCGTTTGATTCCCACTCCCTCACTACACCTCTGTCCTCCAGATCATATAAGATCGAGGCGCGGTCATCTTTCTAAGCTTTTACAATATTCCACAACCGTCTACTCGGCTTAGCCAGCTTATCGCGATCAGATTCCGCAATCTGCTTGCGACGATTAGCACCGCATCAACCTGGCAGCGTGACCCAACTGGGAGACGATATCGCGGAACAATCTCTCTTTTACGGAAGTGATACTGTCCTCGTTCGCTGTTTGCGTTCCAAAACATTGATCCTGAATTTCTGTGTCTTCCATCCAGCATCACCAACACGGTAGACAATCCCGACCATGTCTGTCAAATTTGAAAAAGAGACCGTTCGAACGGCTGCAGTCCCAGGACTACGAGCTGGAACGGAAGACACTATCCACAAGATAGGGGAGGCGGTGACTGGAGGGAAGAGCCAGACAGGCTATCTCGCTGTATGTGGACCTCTATCATGGAATATGGCGTGCCTATGCTGATGGCCTTCCAAGGCATATCTGAAGCAGCTCCAATCAAACCCATTGCGAACGAAGATGCTCACATCTGGGACACTTGCAGCATTACAGGAGGTTCTAGCATCTTGGCTTGCGCATGACCGCAGCAAACATGGCCATTACTTTAGTACTAGAGTACCAAAAATGGCAGCATATGGCGCCTTGATCAGTGCTCCGCTTGGGCATATGCTCATCAGCATTCTGCAGAAGTTGTTCGCCAATCGGACAAGCCTCAAGGCAAAGGTCCTGCAAATTCTGCTGAGCAATTTGATAGTGAGTCACGGCTGGCTTGTGAAGGGCTCAATTACTGACGTTCATTAGGTAGCTCCAATCCAGAACACCGTCTATCTCGCTTCGATGGCTGTGATTGCGGGTGCTCGAACGTGGCATCAAGTTCGAGCAACTGTGAGGGCTGGTTTCATGCCTGTCATGAAAGTCAGCTGGATCACATCACCTCTTGCTCTCGCTTTCGCCCAGAAATTCCTGCCCGAACAGACGTGGGTACCATTCTTCAATATCGTTGCCTTTGTTATTGGCACATACATCAACACTCACACCAAGAAGAAGAGGCTTGCCGCTCTTAGGAAGAAGGTATGTGATCGTCATTCTACTTCAACCACGACAACACAGCTGATTGCGGCAGCACTATGGTGATGGGAGAAGCTCTTCGGGTCGAAGTGACGATTATCCGCGACCCAATTACTAGGTAACTATGCGGTCGCTAGATAACTGAATGCAGGTTTGCTATCAGGCCCGCCTCTGTTTGAGCCACCAGTGGCTTCGTTCACTTGGACCACTACTAAGTCACCATTCAGAAGCTGCAAAATACGTGGCCTTGTTTGTGGACGTCGGGTCGTTTCAAGGGTGATATCTGGCCTTATGTGAGGTTGGTGTAATGCTCATACCTTGTTGGCTAGTTCTGATTTTAAAAACGTTTGACGCTGCACAGCGTGCTCTTCGCTATCGTTTCCAGTACTATCGTGATCAGCGATCGGTTTCGTATCGTGCACATCTTCGAATCTGTTGGTGGTTGAAAAGACTCTTTCGTTGCCCTTTAATATGCTGTGAGGGTGCTTACTACTTCAAGCCAATTGAGTGATTGTCCAGCATGCGGATCCCTTGCGACCTGGCTGATAGAAGCTACCTAAGCTCCTAACTAACTAATCACTGGTCTGGCCACATGCGTACGGCCATGCTGAGTGGCCACCGGCTCTCCAATGCGTTTGCCAACTTCCTGAAGCTACTATTCGTTACATGAAGAAAGCAGCCAGCAACGGCAAGATGCAGAGGGTAGCGGCTTGGTGGTCGGTCATTCTCTCGGCACTCGAAGATTTGACAAATAGTCCAAGCTCGACGAAAGCACTACAGTCCCCCCAATTTTGGCCCCAGTCATCCCTTCCGTCTTGCTAACGGTGTGCCTATGATGCTGGCGTTTGCTCCAATGCTTCTATAATAGTCTTGACACATTGTAGCGACGTCAAGATTTCGTTCCTTTCTTTTTCGTGGCCTGGTACACTGGCCCATCCTGTACACCAATCACTGAAACCATTCTCTGTACTGCGTCTTTGGTGCGAATATAAGCGAGGGGACCGGGCTCTCCTGCACCTTCATGCGTTTCTGTATCTCTCTTCGAAAAGCCGACCATGAGCATCCCTCTTGCCAGCTTCTATGATCCACAATGTTCTTCTGATCATTGGATCATACAACATTCAGCGCGGACTGCCAGACCTGATTTAGGGTTGAGAGAAGGGGAGGCTGCCAGACTGGCCCTCCAAGAACTTGAGAAGCTAAAAGGGTCTGACGCACATCGGCTGGCTCTCGTGCCTTCTACCCATTCGCTTCCACAGCTTCAGTCGCTCATCCCTAACCTCGACAAATATCTCTTTCGGGGATTGTTGAAGAACAATGCCTCGTTTCGCTTGTCCTCCGATCTTCCTCCGACCATACATGGCTCAACCTCAGCGCTGGGTGCATTGGGCAATCAGATCGTGGTCTCACTCAACAGCCTTCTGATGCGCCATCCATCCCATCTTGCCCTTGTTGCAAGTTTGATACATCACATGACTCACGCATACCTTTTAGTATGCTGTGGTTTTGGGAACAGCAATGCTAACGATGGAAGACATGACTTGAAACACGGGTTGGCTTTCAGCAGCATTGTCCATACTATCCAGGATATACTCGTGGATGACGCGCGAATCCCGCTGCCCGACCTGTTTTACTGTAGTGACGCGTTCACCCGGTCTACTCGACTGCGTCGTCAACGTTCTGACCGCAACTCTCTCCACAGCTATTGCCACTTCGACGACAGCGACCATGAGGATAAGAGAGCGTGCGGGGCTTACATGCAGCGCGTGATTTTGGGAGCTCAGGATACGAGTTTTGATTCCCGTGAGAAGACATCATATCCTGCCAATGCATGCCAGTCAATGAGCATGCTAGGAGGCTTGGTGAATCGGTAAGCTAAGCTTCCATAGACCTCAGGAAATAGCACAACTTTAGTGGCTCACGGAGACACAGTGCTCAAATGGAGAATTTCTATCGGCCACAGATTGATCTTTATCACTACTTACCGCATCCCACTACGTCCTTGGTTCGACCAGCTGGAGATATTCCAGTATCCGGTGACTATCAAGCCCTCTTGAATCTACAGGCGTTTCTTGCCTTTGGCGATTACGAGCCTAGGGTTTTGGTACGATTCGACAGCTCTGACATTGATGGCCCACCCCGAATCCACGTCGACGACAAACACCTTACCAAAGAATCAAACCTGAGTAATCCTCTAGACGATCTAAGAACCTATGTTCTTGCGCTTCGTACGTCGGTAGAACCACTTCGACGGTTAGCGCTAGTTCGGCTCTATTCTCAGAAGTTGCTCAAAAAGGAAATCAATGCCATGTATTTCTTGGAGGAGATCTATACAGGAGCTCCTAGTTGCGAGGATGGCCCTGGTGTCGCAGTCAAAGACTATAAGCCCGATGACGATCTACGCCACTTCGTTCTGGCTTTCCTTTGTGCTGCACATCCAGACCTGCCTACCAAGGCACCTGGGGTAATACAGCTCGAGTACGAAGACACTATCTATGGACGTCGGGTCATCACAGAAACAGACACGGAGCCAGCCACCAGAGACAACAGCAACCTTTACATCCTCGAAACGACTGACAGATACAAGGGCAGGCTCAGCAAACTCCGAGGAAATGGTGGACTGTTTCTGGAAGATCTGGACAAAGTGAAGAGCGCCTTAGGCAACCAGGAACCAGTCAAACCGCCCGCTGATCTCCTTGTCTCTGGTGCCGGCGATGGAACACTACAAGCACTTGAGGCAAGCAATGCCAACACTGCCAAAGGATTGTTAGGTAGCAGGACAGTCTTGGAACGTTTAGAGGCCGCCCAAAAACAACACCGTGCATACGACCCATATCAGCAGTATCGTAGAAGAAGACCAGTGCTTGGTCTGGGCGGGATACCAGCATCCTTTACCGTTGACGATCTGGTCGACGAGGTAAGGCTTGACGATTTCGTGAGAGTGCAAGGACTTCGGTTCTGAAGCAGGAGAGCTTCAAGTGAAGAAGCCCAGGGAATGGTACTCGAACCATGCTCGAGATCGTGTAGGACAAGTTCTATAGCAATCATCAAACAGGGAGAGAAGTTTGAAGCGATCCTGCAACTTCCCCATTCTATGGAAATCTGAGGCGAGAGGCTATCCATTCAACTTCGTTAATCTGACATGCGATGGCGATGACGCTACCGTCGCCCGGCTGTAGAACCATATGCAATTTTTCAATACATCTTAAGTACGCAAAGTACAAGCTCACCTCGTCGTCCTCCTCGTGGATACTAGTAGGGACAATCAAGGCGGCTGCCACTGCAAGCTCCAGCTGGATTGGTGCTTGGCAAGCATCAGGGATTTCCCACTCCAGTCAATTGACCCTCCCTCCATCTGTAATACGGTTCTCCTTGCACTCTCTTGGAACACAGCGTCTTTCTCAGGGCGAACTTGCACAAGCTGAGCTCTGAGGCCATGCTGAGGGTGGTGAGCATGCTGCCGAGCACGGCACCGATTTCCAAGTAGTCCTCGACACGACATGGTGTCGCAGATTCATCCCAACTGTAGCGGAGCAGCATGCGTACCCAACCTATATACTACTCTCAAGATCAATTCTAACATATACTCATCAGTTTCTGTCTCCTGGCCATGAAATACATCTTGTTATTCGCGTTCTCGCTTATGAAATGCTTTTTTTGATCTCATCTTGGTGGCGATTGAGGCCGCCAAGGCTTCCCCTTACAGAACAGTGTGCGCAAAAAACACAAGTTATAATATATAGTTCAGCAGTTATTTTCGTCTTCGGGCATCTGGTCAATTTGAAACGATACAGTCGTTCTCATTTGGGCTGGATGAAAACCAGCTTGGTCTTACCACCTTGGGAGTTTTCATAGCAGATGTTCCTGTTAGTCCTTCCGATCTCTAGCATCTAACTGTAGTAGGTAATCAGTTTAAATTATCTGAGAGTCCCGAGGCTGAATTATGGATCTTGGAGAGGAGACAGGCTTGGAATCATCTGCGAACTTTTTGCTGTTCTTTGGGGGTGTGGGTTCAAATCTCCGTGGAGTCATACTTTTCTTTTTGCTTTGTCGACCACCACCCTGAGCCCCCAGGAGAACAGGCAGGAGTGAATGGAGGCATATGTATGGAACAAATTTTTTATTCCTATGAAAGTATGGTTCTACAGACAGCTTACTCGTGATGGCCCCAAGTTTGCTTCCTCTGCCCGTACAGAGCTCATCCGTATGTGGCGTGGAGCTAAGTCATGAACTGATGGAGAGTGAGGACCTGGGGCTTTCATGTGTTTCTTACCTTTCGTTGCTTTGACAATTTGCAGTGCTCGCCCTAATCCAGTCATGGTGTTTGTGTTTGTTTTGGTTGGCTCTCACGTCAAAACATGCCGAAGATCTCTCGAACTTTTATGCTCACAGACTTCTAATCCTCTTGTCATATCACCACTCCAGTTTGACTCTTGACCACCTTCAAGTGCAAATACTTACCACCGTCCGGCTTTGTGTCTCTGTTCGTGGGAAACCGCTGGGTATAATATCTGAGGTGTTCAGAGGTTGGAGACCGGAGCCCTGGTCAATCTAACTGGAAGGAGAGCTTCGCGAATCGAGTATGCCACCATTGAATGAATTCAGTCGCTACGATGTGGGTGTGGCAGACTTTGCTTTCGAGTTTCAAGAGCTCCACATAGACAGCTTTCCACATCTGCAAGGAATCGCCCCTGAGATCCGACAGGAGATTCTTCGTTATCTGCTGAATGTCGAGCGCTGTCGTGTTGAGACCGAGAATCAGGACTGGGTTCACGGCTACCAGCGAACGGGTGAAAAGGCGAATGTTTCGTCGGGACGGCCACTAGAGGGACGCGCACTACAAAGCTGGCTATTCAACGAGTCGCAAAGTCTCTCCAACGAGCTCTCCTCTATCAGAGGCTCAAGTCCTTGGGTTGTCAAACTCGACCTACATCCAGCGATCTTGAACGTCAACAAGCAGTTCTTGGTAGAAGGTATGAATCTCATTGCAAGTGAGAATATCTTCATCCGAATTCGCAGCGACATCCCCAACTACAATGTTCATCTCCGAAAATTTGGCCTGCCAGTTTTCACCTACCACAAACGACCCTACCCAGAGATGTGTCGGTACGAAAGTATGATGAAAGCCTCGGGGATAGGATCTCAATCCTTCAGAGTCATGATCGAGATCGACATGCGAACCGACCAGACCAACCTTCTTTCCAAATTGAAACACTTCTACCTGATCCCATTCAAGGACATCGATCAAGTCATCCGAGCTCTGTACCTAACAAAGGGACGCGAAGAAGCATGGTTCCGGTTCAGTATCAACCTCAAACACGTCCCGGACCCCATGAAATCCTCCATCGACATACAAGTCACACAGTGGATGTCAAATTTCCGTCCCGTCGGCTCAATCTCCATCATCATACCAGCGGAGGGTTTCGAAAGTTTTCCCATAACAGATCTTCTTACCCAACCATTCAACATCTGGGAATTCGTGATTGCGGTCCAGAAAATCACAGGATTCACTCAAACCAGCAAAGCTCCTCTACCCGCACGACCCAAACCCTCCGGGCCCGAAGACAGATATAAATCGTTAACGCAGCTTTCTCAACTCTCCGCGATCTTCACCCAGAACCACGATCTGTTGAAACGCTCTCATCGAGAAGCGGTTGAGTTGCTAGCGACACTAGCTTCAGCACCCCTTTACACGCTCCTGCAGCTCGAATACGCCGCCGTCAAGGCCTCAGCCCCTGACAACGAGAACAACAATGCCAGCAACGACCGTGTCATGTCAAAATGGCATCTTACCATTCTCCCTCTCTCCACGCTCCTGGCTTCTCTTCCACCCCTCTTTCGCGGTCAACGGCTCCAGTCCCTCCACATCCATATCCACGTCCTCGCCGCCCTCGGCCACGAACGCCGTACTTCAGCAATAACGTTCGAACTGCTTGTCACGCTGCGCATGCGCATCCTGGAACACAGTCTAAGCCAAAAGGAGGGTCCTGGTGCCGAGGCTGAGGATGATTCAGGATTAGTGGTTAGGAGTAATGGGTGTGGGTTGAGCAAGAAGACTAGGGCGCTCGTTGGGGTCACGAAATATGCGCTTGAGAGGGGCTTTGTGGAAGAGGCTGGGTGGGGTGAGGTTTGGATGATGGGGCTCTGGCAGGATCTGTGTAGGGATGGGTGGCTAGTTGTGCAGGAGATGGATTGTGGCGGAAAGGGTAAGGGTATGGATGACGGGAGTAGTGCTGCTGGTGATGGTGGTGACAAGAAGGTCGGAGAGACAGAAGGAGGAAAGAAGGTGAGCGTGGGCTTGGAGGATATCTGGAAGCTGAAGTGGGGTGGGAGATTCGCTTGAGAAGGAGAAACGAGGCGAAGAAGGAGTTGAGCAAAGGCAACTTCGGAGGTCTCCCTCCAGGAGCATTGCGCAACGTCTACGACTGGAACAGGGAGTGAACGGGTCAGATACCTTTGCACCTTGGACATGGCAGCGAGTGGAGTGTACGTATGCCCGCTTCCCCTTCCAGTCAGTGTATGGAATACAGATCCACTCATCCAAGAAAACACGATCGCGCATCACTTCCCTTCGTCCCTCTGCACATACCTACCCTCACACCAAACCACTGGCAAGCAAACAAAATCCAAAAGCTCATCGTACAACCCATCAACCATCCAGCCAACCACAAGCATGCCGAATACACAAGTGACACAGCCCTCGCACCACCCTTCTACCCACACCTGCTACTTCTTACCAACCACCTACCACCGTAACCACGCAAAACCACGCCAAAAATCCAACCAAGCACATCGCGCACACACAGAGCCAGAACCAGAGCCAACACCACAGACACTGTACAGTACGTAACCAGCGCATCCTGTACCGCATTCCATCCACCCACCCACTCCATCCATGAAGTCCAGTCCAGTCCAGTCCAGTGTATCGCCTACCTACCTACCTGACTCCACTCACGCACTCACCCACCAACGAACCACCTGAGCAGTTGAGTAGTAAAAGCCAAGAAGAAACCCGCGTCTCCACACACTCGTTCATTCATCCAAACATGTATCGCTTATGCATATCAGTGCCGAACTCCGATCCCTGAGACGGAGACGGAGACTTGAGACGGAGACGGCAGGGTATCGGGCTTCAAATCGATCAAAACTGCGCACATACGGAGTACAGACATGGGCTTCATGGTAGATGGAGAGATAGACAGGTGGGTAGCATGGATCGAAGTCGTGCGGTTACGTAGAATTTATCAGTATGAATGTAAGTCAGTTGGTTAGTCTTTATTTGTAGTTAGTACTGTGATGAAGTTTATAGGCTAGTGGTGTACAGAGACGAGATAGGAGGTAGGGGAAATCCCAGCTGAGAAGAGGAGAGGGCATATACTCCGTACTTAGAGCGAATACAGTGATAGCTATGTATTTGTTCGAGAGCGTCCGGATTGCAATATGGTTGACGGTACGCGGACAGCTACTTCACTCTCCACCCATTGCTGTCCATTGCGAATGGGGAAGAGAGCACAATGGGTTCTTCTACGCTTGGTAGGGTGATCACAGATCAGTGGAAGGGATATGCAAAGCGCAGTCTATTGTTTATTGCGAGAAGAAAAGTAGAGTACACCAGAACTTCGTTTGATGCGCCCTGCAGCGCCATACTCGATGCGCGATTGTCATGGCCATGCCATCAATCGCCATCCATATTGCTGCACCTGGCCTAGCTCAAGTTGCTGTTGAGACCATGTGAAGTTGTATGGCAGCTCGCGCAGGTTGAAGCGCAATGACAAAGCGACAAGCTCCCTCAACTGTAGCAAGACAATCTATTCCTTCTCTGTGCACGCTCAGTCATACAGACTGTCATCCGCACCAGCATCTCCAAAGCCATTACCATTAGCGGCAGCAGCGTTGGTCTGCTCTTCAGTAGGGAAGCGGAAGAAGTTGCTACCGCCACTGTTCTTCATGCTCTGGGCGAAAGCTTCGTATCTTCGAACTTCAACGTCGCTGACCGATCTTCGTGCCAGTTGCATAGCCTCTTCAAAATGGGCCTTGGTAAGCTCTGGAACGGGATCTTCGGCATCGTCTTCCTCCATCTTGACATCCTCGCCCGCTGCCTCGCGTTCCTTGGTCTTCTCGATATCGATTGCGATTGACTGTTTAATGGCTAGTTTGACCGCGCGCTGAGTAACGAAACCAAGATCGGCACCAGAGAAGCCGTGTGTCTTGCTTGCAATGTAATTGATGTCAACATCATCGGCAACCGGTGTCTTGCGCAACTGGGCCTTCAAGATACCAACGCGGGATGGTTCGTCGGGCAATGGAACGTAGACGAGTGTGTCAAGACGACCAGGTCGGCATAGAGCATTGTCAAGTTGTTCTGGTCGATTGGTTGCGCCAATAACGAAGACATTCTTCTTCGAGGTCATACCATCCATTTCTAGGATCTGTTAGTGGTAACTTAAAAAGAGGGTATTAGGGCTAGACGTACCAGTCAGAAGCTGGTTGACAACACGGTCTGAGGCACCACCGGCGTCACCAACTGACCCACCTCGAGACTTGGCAATAGAGTCAAGCTCGTCAAGGAAGACCACACAAGGAGCTGCAGCACGAGCCTTGTCGAAGATATCTCGGATATTGCTTTCCGACTCACCAAACCACATACTCAGAAGCTCGGGACCCTTGACTGAGATGAAGTTTGCAGCACACTCATTGGCCACAGCTTTGGCAAGAAGAGTCTTACCAGTACCTGGCGGACCGTAGAAGAGAACACCACGGGAGGGTGACAAGCCGAACTTGAGGAACTTCTCCGGATGGTCGACAGGATATTGAACACTCTCAATGAGCTCGCGTTTGACATTCTCGAGGCCACCAATGTCGTCCCAACGAACGTTGGGCACCTCGACAACAGCAACCTCGCGGAGCGCAGAGGGGTTGGAGACACCAAGCGCGAATCGGAAGTTCTCCATGGTGACTCCCAGTGAATCCAAGACTTCAGCGTCGATTGTGTCCTCGTCAAGGTCGATGAGGTCCATTTTCTCACGAATTTGCTGCATCGCTGCTTCGGAACAGAGGGAGGCAATATCAGAACCAACATAACCATGAGTTTCAGCAGCAATGGATTCGAGATCAACGTCTTCACCGAGTTTCATGTTCTTGGTGTGGATTTGCAGGATTTCGAGACGTCCAGTCGGGTCAGGGATGCTGATGTCCACTTCACGGTCGAATCGTCCAAATCGGCGTAAAGCAGGATCGATGGAGTTGGGTCGGTTGGTTGCCGCCATTACAACCACATTGGAGCGAGCTTTCATACCGTCCATCAGAGTAAGAAGTTGCGAAACAACACGTCGCTCGACTTCACCATTAGTCTTCTCACGTTTGGGAGCGATGGAATCAATTTCGTCGATGAAGATGATAGCGGGTGAGTTCTTCTCAGCCTCTTCGAAAGCCTTGCGCAGGTTCGATTCCGACTCCCCGGCCATTTTGGACATAATCTCGGGACCGTTGATGAGGAAAAAGAATGCGCCAGTTTCGTTTGCCACAGCTCGGGCCATCAGGGTCTTACCGGTACCAGGTGGGCCGAACATGAGAATACCTCGCGGAGGCTTGATACCGATCGATTTGAAGAGCTGCGGATGTCGGAGAGGAAGCTCAACTAGTTCTCGAATTTGCGCCATTTGCTTGCGGCAGCCCCCGATATCGTCGTACCCAACCTCGTTCAAGTTACCCTCCTCATCTTCGCGCTGGATGGGTTCTCCTTCACAATGTATGACAGTATCTTGAGCCACGATGCCGTACTCCGGTGGGTCGACCTCCACAATCTTGAACTCTACCTGTCTCATACTGGCTCGAACTGTGAATAGATCACCCTGTCGAACAGGTCGATAGGCTTCGCGGAAGTAAGGAGCAAGGAAAACGTCGAAAAGCGAGCCTGTGAGGCCTTCGACCGTATCGGCAATAGGGAGAACAGCAATGCGTTTGGCCTGGAACGAGTCAGCTGAATCCTGCCGGAAAGAATCCAATAGCACGTACGTATTTGATTTCAGGGCAGGGATGAACAGTCACGATGTCGCCATGCTTTACCCGAAGATTGTGTCGTACGACTCGATTCATACGTGCGCTTCCGTCATCCAGGTCGTCATCTGCCAGCACGATCAAGACAGTATCCTTCCGCTTCTTGCCCTTGACAAGGACTGTGTCGCCACGGAACAACTGCAACGTGTCCATAGTATTGTTCGAAAGAGCGATGATGGAGTTGTCATCGTTCGTGGCATCAGTGACGCTGATTCCGTGGAGTCAGTAGGACGTGTGGATGAGGAGGCAGCATAAACTTACATCAGCGAGTTTGGCTTCTTCTTTTTCTTCAAGATCGCTGTGGACGTGTCAAGTTCCTGAGTCCGGTGGTCAATACCGAGCGTGGAGATGCCTGTATCTGGGTATCTTACTTCTTTCTTTTCCGCTCCGGAGGCGTCACTGTTGAGAAGGTTAGATATACTGCAGGAAGCATCCAACGAGGATGATCTGTATCACTCACGTGAGGTTGTGCTTGGGCTTGCCTTTGGCATGATCTGGCTCTGCAGACATGGTGGCAGTTTTGACGTGGAGGAGTTCCGATAGAGGTAGACTACGCTGAGGATCGGTAAATGTTTTGGGGTTGAGAAAGGCTGCACGTTAAGGTAGAGTGGCTCGAGGATGAAGATGTGCAGAATGCTTCAGTCGAAACTTGAGTCGAAACTTGAAGGTCGAGAAAAGGAAAAGGCGCAGATGTCGGTGAAGGCAAGATGTAGATGTAGATTCTTCTGAGTACCTTTGAAGTTGAAGCTCTGCAAATCAGCCAAGGCAACAGATCAACTACGCAACTTGAAGTTGCCGCTTGCAATTCCTCACTAGCGTCTTGGCAAGAATCTCTAATCTCTACTACTAACTTACGTACGATTATTCACTCCGCAGAAGAAGTCGGTGGAAACAATTCGACAACCTGCCTGCCCAACCGCCCACGTAACTCTTCGCGGTGGTGGCAAACGCCTGCAGCATCACAACATGAGTACCAAATACGCATCACAATACAGCTCTATTCCGCTCCCTCATGAACCTACTTACTTGTGCAAAGTCTGTTGTTATGATAGAGAAAGGCTAATAGCATATGGCAAGAGTGGTAGCTACGTCCCTAATAGATCATATAAAGCACGTACGACATGAGAGGCAGCTGGAGAAAAGTCTGAAAGGGAGTGTAGTCCCGTAAGCTGCTATTAAAATATACGATTTGCGAATACATGGGGACACGGAGTGCGATTTGGTAACTAGCTTTAAGCTGCAATCAGGCTTCTTCAACGCCTGGGAGCCTTTGCTGCTACTCCGATCTGTATCAGCGATAGCTCTCTAGCGGACAACCTCTATGGCTCTGTGTCCCTAAGTACAACGACTATCATGCGGGCCAAAGATAGAGCATCACTTCTACTCATGTAATAGCTGCCATTAGAAACCGTGTGTCATTTCCTGATTAGCTTGTATTTGCAGGTGGATCAGAAAGAAAGCCATCAGGCACACCCCGAGCTACCACACCCGCTGCACCAACATAGCATCCGAGCATGCTGCTCCACGTATACTTGTATGCTTGTAGCTCTTTAAGCTTCTGGTAAGCATATGTGTTTGCGTAGGCAACGCCAGTAGTCGGATCACGATACCGAGCAGGTAGGGAAGTTATTGGACACAGCTCTTGGTTGGCTTTCGATAGCTTGGGGCCTTTGCGGGTGTTGTAGAAGACGCCGAATTCACCCCGGTCGTTGGGGTTTACTCGTTCGAAACTCGCAAGCATGACCAGATTGCGTGTAGATTGCATAGGTTCAGGTTCAGGTTCAGGTTCAGGTGGTGGAGGTTGAGGCTGTGACTGACTCGGCCGACGCTGTGACGGGTCAACGTAGACTTGTGGTGTGCTGGGCCCATCACTCGGAGCGGTGCTAGGTACATTGGAACCTCCTTCGCTTGGCATAGATGCGTATTCCTGAATCCCTTGTAAAAAGAAATTGTCGAGCCCTTGTGGGGCCGTAAAAGTAACATTGGGAAGTGCTTGGCTAGGTTCCGCTGACTGAATCGATTTTGAGAGCTGTTCCGCTGCTTGCGGTTGTTGCTGTACTGGTGGCTCAGATGGTGCTGGAGTAACGGTTTGAGCTCGAGGGGTGCCTGTGCTTGACTGCACATCCTCTTTAACAGACTCGGGAGCCTCGGGATTCTGCTTTGGCTTCCTTCCCCTCTTCTTGGGTTCAGCAAGCATCTCTTGGTTAGTCTCTTTAGACCCTATTTTGACCAATTTGGTGCCCAACCAGGTAGCTATCCCACTCCACCATGATACCACAGGCCCTTCGAGTTTGCGAGTCTTAAGGGCAGCAAGCTTGGCAGCCTGCTCGTCGGCTCTTCTGCGCTCCATTTCTTCCCACCGATTGAGACTCTTGCTGTTTTTCTTTTCTGTCTTCGCAGCTTCTGCCAATCGGTCTGCCTGTGTCATTTGCTTGGGCTTGTGCTTTTCCCGCTCATGCTCTGCTTTCCTCATCTGTGCAAGTGTTTTGGCTCTTTTCACAGCATGATCTTTGAGACGGGCATGAGTGACTTCTTTGTTCTCAACAGTCTGTTTTCGTGCTGATGCACGTGTTGGACCCTCATTGACATCGGGCAACCAAGAAACGCGCTCCGACTTCTTCTTTGGACGAGGTGCACTTGTAATTGGCGTACTTGTGGAAACAATCTTAACCTTCTTCCTAAGGCCAGAAACTGTGGTAAATGCATCCTGGGCTTTGCGTTTCTTAGCTTTCTGTGCTTTCGCTTGTTGTTGTAGCTCTTTTTCCCCTTCCAGGTCCTCGTCACCCTTAGTATTTGGGTCTTGGTCTTCGTCGTCTGAGGAGGAGTCCAACTGGGCATCGGATCTGTCTTCGTCGCTTTCTTCGAACTCGACGTCTTCTTCCTCGTCTTCTTGAGCAAAGAGTAATGCCACCTCGTCATCATCTTCGCGCTCAATCAGACTTGCCATGCGATTGCCCGCAGTGACTCGACGGTCTCGCCCCGCAATGAGTGTTTCCACTGGCTCAGAGCCATCGCTGCCGTCGTCCGATTCGGATTGGGAGTCATTGTCTTGTTCCACAGGAGGAGCGTCATTCATTTCCTCATCAGCCATTGTAGGGATGCGGGTTTAGTGAAGTTGTCCTTGCGTTCTGATCAGGTCAACAAGCACTGGCTGTGAATGTATTTCGGTGGCTGTACCACGTGTGGTGCAGCTCTGCCGGGTCCTTGTTAGTCACTTCGGTGGTCAACAGGGACCTGCTGGGCAGTGAATTAGTGTGAATTAGTCAAGCTGCGCCCCACCCGATAGATTTGAAGGTATCCCCCGATTCATTAGGGCCAAACCTGAAACATTGCGGGGGCCTTATTTCAGGTACTAATGTGCGTCCCTGGGCAGGCGACAGACCATACATCCTCTCCATCCTGGATGCAGATAGCAGAACTTGCCCTGCTTCGACGCTTCCGACCCTTTTTACTGCAGCACTAAGGTTTCTGCCCCTGGACTCTTCCCCGCGTAATCCTGCTTGGAACCTCCACGCACTTTGGCGAGCCACTGTCAATGTGATGACTTTGATGAACTTTCGGTATGGAAGATCGGAGAAGCACACCATTCGGCTTCTACGTAGTACATGCATTCCAGAGTCAGGGGCAAAGATAATTGCATGGAGGGTGTCCTCGTCTGATACCTAATGTTTGCTCGACGCTGCCACTCTCCCAGGACCGCAATACTATCAAGGGCTTGGTGAGGAGTGGACTGTGGATGTTGATGAGGGAATAACACGAAGTAGTGGTGCACTGCATGGACAAGCGGCCGCAATTTAGATGGGAGCATTGGTTGTGACTGATGACAGGGGCCTTTTCTACCGTGGTTGGCTGCTCGACTCATTATTGGCTTTCAGTGAACAGCAAGGCTGTACAAGAGAAGGGAGGTGATATTCCGAAACAGTAACCCCAAAAAGCCCAAGTGGACGGGGTGCTGCTAACAGTGCCCTCGATTAACCGAGATTCTGAAAACGAACGTCCTGTCTGTCTTGTAGATCTATTCACCTCATAGAACATCACGAAATATCGTGCAAATGAAACTGGCCCAAGTCTGCACGCTGTCACATCCGTTTGGAGACACGCTAGATCCCAGCAGCGTTGTTTCTCTGGGATCCGCAACCTGGAAAATCCACTCCTGCATAATTGTCAGTCTTGAACCACGCTTTGTGCTCATCCTCTATCCCGTTCCTACGCTTCTTCTGTACAACTTTTCGACTCACTGCTCTTTTAATCGGCCGGTCACTGACACCATTGCCATAGTGTTTGACCACTTCTGCTGCTGTGCCAGCGCTTACACTCCTTACATCCCCTCATCAAGCCTTCTTCAGATTGAGCACACCGCTCCACCATTCGAATTGACGATACCATCTTTCTAATTCCGGAGTATCTATCCGCTTTCGCGTCTCGTTCCGACCGTTGCTTAGAATAGCACGCCAGAACATTACATTCAGCATTGATCCAAAACCCTTATTCGGTCTTCTTCCACTCCTCTCTTACAGAACAGGGACGCCGATACATCCACCTTCAGAACTTCGCTTGGACCGAGGAATATCGAGAGTTGACTGTTCAAGGCTTCGGGCTTATGATTGAGGGGTCCCCTTGGCTACACTGGGGTCTGACGTAGATAAAGGACACTGCATTTGCGACCATCACACTACCTCACTAGGAGAACTACAGAATATGTCCTCTGGGTCGAGGCCGGAAAGTCGCCTCAGTTCGAGCTATTTGGCTCAAACAGCGTCTTCGGTCCCACGCTCAGGATCATCTACATCAAATACCTCTCCCGTCGACCCTAACACAGGAAACATTCCAAAAACATCATTTAGTGCGGCGAACACTATGAACACGAACAACTCAGGACTGGGCAGCGCGCGGCTTGGGGCAGGCTCCCCGCTCCATGACTCTAACACTCGACTCTTCCCGAAACGTACCAGAGAGCTTCAAGCCCAGGAAGGTCTCTCGCCGGGTATCTGGGGTCCTCCTACTGCGAGTGGCAATTCTACCCCTCTACGTGAAAATATCCCAGAATCACCCACTCAGGACGGTTTCCCCGACCTCGTCCCTCCGGCAGACTCCGACCTCAATAGTCCTGCTAGACGAGCCAGGGCCGGGACAGTGCCTTCGAGGTTCTCCCCTGTCGGCACTTTGAATGGTATGAATGTTCAGCAGACCTTGCTTTCGAAGACATCTCGGCCCACCCCATCAACCAGCCCTTTCAAACCTCCTGCTACGGCCGTGACTGATGCACCATCTTCCAAGCTGCTTGCAGCAAGCTCAAGCAATGCAGCGCTGTTGTCACGCCTACGAGCAGGCTCCATGCCACAGAGGTCCAACTTCCTAGGGTCCTCTAACCCTTTCGGAAACTCCCTCTTTTCCACTAACTGGGCACCTAGTCGTGAGAGGACTTCGACCTTGGCTAGTATAAAATCACTTGAGGATCCTTCATCTCCAGCTCAATCGACCTTCTCAAAAGATGGTCTTACAGATTCCGATGTCAGAACCCTTGATTACCTTGGTCTTGTAGAGACCCCGCAACAGCCTCGAGCTACTCTTGCCCGACCAACGACCAACGACGGCATGTCACAGCAGCAGGTACTTGGCCTACCTCAACTGCTAGATTACAATATGCTCACTAGGAACGCGAACCGATTTCGTTCATACTCTGTCAATGCAGCTGCCAAGTATGAGGATGACGATGAACTCGGCGTGTCGTACTCTGGTCTCCCTAGCGGTACACTCACACCTTCTGCCGCTGCCCTGGACGCCCAGCTAGCTGCCACTCAAGCTCAGATCCATCAGCACAACCTGGCCGTCCAAGCATTCGCTAATCATGCTTCAGTCAGTCGCCCTAGAGCCCGCACCGCGGGAATCCTGGATACGCCTCCACAGCGAGCGTCGCTTCGCAACTATCTTGCAAATCCTTCCAGACTAGACAACAGTATGAGTGCAGCCGATATGCCGCTGGAGGAGGGCAATGAGTACGAGAAATTGGCAGAATCTGTAAGACTATTGCAGATGAATGGCATCAATACCGATTCTCGGCAGAATAAAGTCGATGACGATGGCACAGTTGCGTCACGGTCACTTTGGATTGGTAGCATTCCCAATTCCACAACGGTCAGTTCTCTGGACGCCATATTCAGCATCTACGGGCCGATCGAGTCTACTCGGGTTCTAACGCACAAAAATTGTGGGTTCGTCAACTTCCACAATGTGACCAACGCCATTCAAGCTAAACAGCTTCTGAATGGCAAAGAAATATTCCCAGGCGCTGGCCCGGTCAGGATTGGCTACGCAAAAGCCCCAAGCTCTACGGGCACACCAGGCAATGATACAGTACAACAGTCGCCTACAGCCGATCCACATTCGGACACGTTGTCACCCAATGCGCGCAGTGGCGAACGTGAGGGATTTAACAGCAATGACATAAATGCGAAAACCTCCGCAGCTGCCATGCAAGTTCCCAATTTAGCTGATCTCAAGTCAGAAATGATGAGCATTGTGCTCGATTTCGGAGCAACGGACGGAGCTGCTACCAAGATCTCTAACAGCATCGACGGTGCTATCGCCTATGATCATTACAAGAAAGAGATCCCACCAACGTCGGAACCCAGCCATGCCAGAATATTTGATGCACCTAGACTGCGTGATATACGCAAGAGAATTGACAATCAGGTTTGTAGTCATGGCGAACTCGAAGAAACAGCCGTTCAAATGTTGCCTGAGATCACGGAGCTTGCGTCAGATTATCTGGGCAATACTGTGGTGCAAAAGATGTTTGAGTATTGCTCTGAGGAGTTGAAAGAGCAGATGCTTACGCAGCTTGCACCTCATCTGGCAGAGATTGGTGTACACAAGAACGGCACATGGGCTGCACAGAAGATCATTGATGTGTGCAGGACGATATCGCAGATGACCATGATCGTCGATCATCTACGGCCTTACACAGTTCCGTTGTTCTTAGACCAGTATGGCAATTACGTTTTGCAATGTTGTCTTCGCTTTGGATCTCCTTTCAACGACTTCATCTTCGAGGCCATGCTCAGCCGGATGTGGGAAATTGCACAGGGCAGATTTGGAGCACGAGCAATGCGTGCTTGTCTGGAAAGTCATCATGCAACTAAAGAGCAGCAAAGAATGTTGGCCTCGGCGATCGCATTACACAGTGTCCAGCTTGCTACGAATACCAATGGAGCACTCCTCCTGACTTGGTTCCTGGACACATGCACGTTTCCTCAACGCCGAACAGTCCTTGCTCCACGCCTCGTTCCTCATCTGGTTCATCTCTGCACTCACAAGGTCGCGTACTTGACAGTCCTTAAAGTCATCAATCAACGAAATGAGGGGGATGCACGAGAAACTATACTCAGAGCTCTCTTTTTCAGCCCTAATGACACCACCCTTGAGCAGATTCTGGGTGACCAGTCTTCTGGTGCGACCTTGATCTTCAAAGTGTTGACCACGCCGTTCTTCGACGAAGACATGCGATCAGAAGTCGTGAAGAATGTGGCAAAGGTCCTAACCAAGATCAAGGCACAGCCAAGCCAGGGCTACAAACGGCTCATGGATGAAGTCGGAATGTCCTCTCGGGCTGCCCAAAACCAAGTACAGAATCATGCCCATCCCATCAACAACGATCGCCAGCGCCAGCTACCACAGCAGAGCAATGTTGGTTTTCTGCCACAGCCACCACTGGAGCGCCAATACAGCGGCCAGTATGTTCCGAATATGAATGCAGCTGCATTTGAAGCCGGGCAGGGCCTGGCTAGAACTGGTTCTGCCGATTCAATTAATTTTACGCCTCACAACTTCAACATGAATGGACCCACCCAGTCCGCTTACCCAGCGCAAACCCCGATCCAACAGATGGCTCCACAATATCAATCCTTCTTCGCGGCTCCGCAACGTAATGGCAACAACTACATGCAGGCCGCTCAAGCGAATGCATTCACAGGTTATGCAACACCACCGCCTTCCATAGATACCATGAGTTACCGCAACGTCTCTCAAAATCACGGCTCACCACTTACTGGACCTGCTCCGATGGGAAGTCCCATGATTAACGGTGGTTCTGGGTTCGGCCAGCAGGGTTACAGCCCAGTCATAGGCGGTAACATGTACGGTTACCCTCAACAAGGGTACATGTCAAATCAGCAGATGCAAGCAGTGAATGGTGGTGGTGGCAGCGGTAGAAGGGGCAGGGTATTACCCCCCTGCAGTTCCTGTTTTCTGATCTCTACTGACTGCATGCTGTAGAGATGATAATGCGGTTCCGAGGCCGTTACACTTGACTGAATCATTGCACCCGTTGTGCATGTTGTTTGTCTGCGGGTAAGACTGATTGCTCTGGCGGCTGGCTCGTCACTGATACCCGCAATTCTTTTGGACGTCTGGTCCAACAATTCTACAACCCACCACTTTTCGTGCAGCCACTACCTTTTCTCTTCTTTGTCAAACACATGAGCCTCACGTTCGCTATTTTAGCTACATCAGATGCTACGACTCTTGTCAGTGTGTACAAAATTATACCAAATCCTCTTGGAGTCTCTCCTGCGGCCACCGTTGCCACAACAAATATAGCGCACGTCACGATCTATCGGTTGGATGGTGTTCTCGAGGGAAAAAAAAAGGGGGAAATACGTCTTCTGGCGGATGGCCACACGGCCTGGCAGGCTAAATAGAGCAAAGGGCATCTACTGATCTTTCCACACATGAAAAGGATGATGAAGGCGTATGGATGCTGTTGTGGCAAGTGAATCCCAACAAAGATCCGAGCCAATTGAAACATCCATGCGACAGGCAGGTTCAAATTATGCCATAGATGGAGCTATCAAAATCACCGCACGTTATGGCTTTTTTCCCTCTTCCTCTGAACTGATTTTTCATGTTTCCTTCCACTCACCCTGAGCTTGTGGTGGGACTATTCAAGATGGATGAAAATTCTTGCATCGTTCTCAACTCAACGCCTGAGACTCCTCCACCGAAGCGCCCATCATGTTCCTTCACATTGATACCGTATGTCAGTCAATCCGCCCCTCCATCCGGAACGGGTAGCATGGCCTTCCTTCCGTCCGTCTATTCATCAAAATGAGAACCTAAGAACAGCGCTGGCAGCATCCAGGTATCCAATCAAATCAGCGCCTAACATCCGTTCGTTCAACTAACCAATCAATCCCTGGAAGGGAGAGGTCCCGCAACGGGATGCCATGTCAAGCAAGATGGATCGCGAATCCCTCGAACCTCCTTCGATTCTACATCCACGAGCCTACATTCCTGGTCGAGCTGGCAGTCTTCCTTCGGCTGATTCTTGCCGTGCGCGAATAGCGGGGGGCAGGTTGGGTTCGTCTGATGGTGGGGTAAAGTAGTGCAATGGACAGTGGTCATGAGTTTCTCTGCATGTACTGTACCGTGGTCTCACGAACACTGGGAACACTGTATGGAGCCGAGCCAATCTTCTATTATACTAGCTATTGTAGGAAAAGACTGGCTTGGTACGGAACGAGACTACCATTGCGAGAAAAGAACAACGGGACTGTTTCTAAAACATTGTATTAAAAGCTAAACTCCGCACTGTAAGGCTCATATGCCTCACTCAGCCAGCAAGGGCAGGGCAAACGCCATCTTACCGATTCTCTTCCTTTTGCGCATCGAGGTGTCTATGCCTCTCGAAAACAGACCCGGCCCGCGCTCTAGATAACGTAGCTAGCAAATGATACAATCGGGATTGCTGACACCTGAACACACCGAGTTCTTCCGCCCCATCTAAGAATCTCCTCTCATGATGTTGCTTTACGCAACGCCGAATTCCTTGATATCAGTCTTTTTGTTGTTCAACGCTAACGGCACAATACCCGAGACGTGCATTTCCGGACCAAAGACATGCATATTCAAACCCAACTCCTCGCCAACACCCTTGATGTTTCTAAGACCTTCTTGGTAATTAGGACCAGCGCGTCGGACCCAGATTTGCACATTGTGCTCGACCAAGACCGGCGCAACTTCTCGGAGGGCTTTGATGACACCTTTGAAGGTGGTGGCGACGTTGGTGAAGTTGGCGATACCACCACCGACGAAAAGAACCTTGCCCTCTGGATGTGCCGGAGCGCGGAGCATCAGCTCAAGGACGGTACGGGCGTAATTGTAGGTCTGCGCCTCATTAGGGGCGCCGGAGTACTCGCCATAGTTGGCAAGCTCGCTGACGAAGCCGGCCGAGGCAATGGCATCAGCATAGACGACTGAAGCGCCACCACCTGCAACAAGGGTCCAGATACGGCCGGACCCATTGAGCACGGTCAATTTAAGCGAAGCACCGGTTTTGGCATCCATGTCCGAAATGTATTTCTCCTCTTTGCTAAGCTCACGTCCAAAAGGTGCTGGAAACTCCATTGGTGGACCAACATCGACCGTGACTTTGCCATCAGCTTTGACACCCGGTAGGCCCAGAGCTGCAGGACTGCGGGCAATGGCCCATTTGGTGCCACATTCGAAATCAGCGGTCTGATCGAGTTTGGCGGCAAGGTCGAGGAAGTGAACTTCAGCGGATGTAGCATCAGCGTTGGGAATAACGACCAATGGGTTGATCTCGAGGTATGTGAATTGGCAATCAACATAGACGGCGTATAGTCTTGAGATAAAGTCGACTAGGACATTGTGAAGACCTTTTGGCACCTTCTTGAGCAGGGTTGCGGCAATCTCCTCGTTTGAAGGGTAGTCCTTCAGGTTGACTGGGATCAGTAGCTTTTCTGCTTTTGCGTCAACATCGCCAACGTCAACACCACCTTCATGAGTGAAGAGGATCCAGTCTCCCTAGACATTTGGTCAGCACCAAGGACAATCGAGTCCGTATCGGCTCGCTCACCTCTCTGGCAGAGTTGATGTTGATGTAGTATTCGGTATCAGCAGGATGAGGCACGAATGGCTCCACTAGGAAATTCCTCAGGTACCCAGTTACTGTCTCCACCTTCTGCTCCTTGCCGGCTCTTGCCTCGATCCATTCTCTGGCCTCAGCCCATGTCTTGTTGAGGGCGAGCAGACCACTCTTGCCCCGTCTCTTGATCAACTGATCTGGTTTTGCAACGAATTTTGCGCCTGGTGCCAGTAGCCATGGGTAAGTAGCTTCAGCTTGATCGAGAATGGCGGAGGGGTTAGCATCCTCTGGGAAGTTGAGAGAGGCAAGCCTCGAAGGAGCATTGTGAGTTGCTGCAGGAGGAAGAGGGGTTGGCTTGATGACAGGGGCACGAGTGAGGTGATAGTTGAGAATGGCCTTGCCATCAGCTTCGAGGATAGATTTGGCAGACATAACGGCGGTGAGTGTAAGTGTAGTAGGGAGAGTATAGGCGGGAGAGTCAAGGTCTTTGGGTTGCGATCAAGAGGAGACGGAGGCAAGGCGTGGGCAGGAGAATTTTCAGATCAGTTTGTACGGTAGCTGGCAAGAGCTTCTCTGGGGAGACAATTCCGATGGATTGGAGTTACTCCGGGGATCAAAATCGTTGGAGAAAGGTTTGGAGCTCTAAACTTTTACTGGGTAGCCGGACTTGGAGATCAATTGGATTTAGTTGTCATTGCTGGTCGCTGCAGGGATATTTTTGGGTTGGTGTTGGTTGGGGGCTTGCTCGGTAAGCACTTGAATCTGTAGTTCAACTCACCAGAATAGCTCAGCGCGGAAGATGCGCTTCTACAGGGTCATTTGATGTTTGCAATAAGTCACAGTTGAATGTACTGATCATTGACTTCGTCCACCTGTATAGTAGCAGTCGACGCTACTCCTGCTATCCTCAGCTTCCATCCCTCTGCTACCCTCATCGCAACTCGGAGTCCGACCCGGAGCGGGAGCACTCGTTCTTGTCCTCCAGCGGATTTGAGAAGGGACGCGAGCCTACCCATACCGTAGAGTGCCTAACCTAGCTTTCCGAAGGTAGCGATCCCGTAGTACTCGAGGAATATAGTAGATCCAGGCAGCTTATTGCATTTAGCGTGAGAGACAAGACCCTGGTTGGATTATACTACTAAGTTATGGTTGATGGGTTGGATAAAAAAAGAGGTGTTGACTCTCTAGTAGTGGTTGCAAGGGGCGGACCCAACGGGACAGGGATCCGAAGCTGAGCATCTGCCCCAGCTTCTCTTTTTTTCGGAGATACCATACCCGCAACACATTCTCCAACCAAACAACAGCGACTCACCCCCAGCACTCACTCAACTCTCTCTTCCCATCCGCCCTCTTATCCGATCCAACGCCATTGTACTGCTAGGTCAGACGGAGAAGGTCCATAGATTCTTCCATAAGCTCACTGATCTACCATCCTGACCAAGTCCGTGATCCTTCCTTCCCATTCTCCTTCTCATACCACTTCCCGATTGCGCTTGTGAACCTCTCTTCGTCCAAGCATCAGTTACTCTTACGCTTTTGCACCCAGTTCGTCTCTACTGACACCATGGGTCTTCCAGCTCCTCAAGGTTCACCTCCTGAAGGGTCTCCCAAAATGACTGCTGGCACTCCCATCGTCAATGGCACATCCAATGGTGTTGCTACAAACCCGAATAACCCCAATGAGCACATCAAACGCTTCGAAGCACCCTCGAGAACTCTCAGTCCGCTTAAGCACGCTCTATTTCACAACAAAACAAGATGTTTCGTCTAGTAAGTACAAACTGGGCCCCGGGGCAATCAATTGGTTCTAAACATGGTCCAGCGGCATGCAACCCCGAGCTGTGCAAGGAATGCTCGACTTCGACTTCATTTGCAAGCGTAGTACTCCTTCGGTAGCAGGTATCATCTATACTTTTGGTGGTCAATTCGTCAGCAAGATGTACTGGGGTACCAGCGAGACTCTCCTGCCTGTTTACCAGGACGTGAACAAGGCAATGGCCAAGCACCCTGATGTTGATACCGTCGTCAACTTTGCTTCATCGCGATCAGTTTACAGCTCTACCATGGAGTTGATGCAGCTTCCTCAGATCAGGTCAATTGCCATCATCGCCGAAGGTGTACCAGAACGAGTAAGTGAAGCAGCACCGGCACTTGCCAGATAGATACTAATGATCTGTACAGCGAGCTCGCGAGATCATGGTAGCAGCCAAGGAGAAGGGCGTTACAATAATTGGTCCTGCCACTGTCGGAGGTATCAAGCCTGGTGCATACAAAATCGGCAACACGGGTGGGATGATGGACAACATCGTTGCATCCAAACTTTACCGGAAGGGTTCTGTTGGCTACGTCTCCAAATCCGGTGGTATGTCCAATGAACTGAACAACATCATCTCGTCCAACACCGATGGTGTATACGAGGGCGTTGCGATTGGTGGTGACAGATACCCGGGAACCTCGTTCATTGACCATCTTCTACGATATCAAGCAGAGCCAGAATGCAAGATTTTGCTACTGCTGGGTGAGGTTGGTGGTGTTGAGGAATACCGAGTGATCGAGGCCGTGAAGAAGGGCACAATCACAAAACCAATTGTGGCTTGGGCGATTGGCACCTGCGCAGGCATGTTCAAGACTGAGGTTCAATTTGGTCACGCCGGTGCTTCTGCCAACTCACAGCTTGAAACTGCAAACATGAAGAACCAATCGATGAAGGAGGCAGGATTCTTCGTTCCCGACACATTCGAGGATATGCCTGCTGTTTTGGCCTCAGTTTACCAAAGTCTGGTTAAACAAGGCAGCATAAAGCCTTCCCCGGAGCCAGTCCCCCCCAAGATCCCTATCGACTACTCCTGGGCCCAGGAACTTGGTCTCATCCGAAAGCCAGCCGCCTTTATTTCCACCATCTCCGATGATCGTGGACAAGAATTGTTGTACGCCGGCATGCCCATCTCGGATGTCTTCCGAGAGGACATCGGCATTGGTGGTGTGATGTCGCTTCTATGGTTCCGTCGCCGTCTACCGCTCTATGCTAGTAAATTCTTGGAGATGGTCCTCATGTTGACTGCTGATCACGGTCCGGCCGTCTCTGGCGCTATGAACACTATCATCACCACGCGTGCCGGCAAGGACTTGATCTCTTCGCTGGTTGCCGGTCTCTTGACCATTGGCTCAAGATTCGGCGGTGCCCTGGACGGTGCGGCTGATGAGTTTACGAAGGCTTTTGACAAGGGTCTCAGCCCAAGAGAATTTGTTGACACCATGAGAAAAGAAAATAAGCTCAGTGAGTACCATGTGGATTCCATTGGATGTTCCCCGGCTAATCTAGTTTAGTTCCGGGTATCGGTCACCGTGTCAAGTCGCGATCCAACCCCGATCTCCGTGTCGAGCTTGTCAAAGAATTTGTCATGAAGAACTTTGCCTCGCACAAACTCCTCGACTACGCTATCGCCGTTGAGACGGTCACCACCTCCAAGAAGGACAATCTCATCCTCAACGTCGATGGTTGTGTCGCCGTCTGCTTCGTCGATCTCCTCCGTAACTGTGGCGCCTTTTCTCCGGAAGAAGCTGAGGACTACCTGAACATGGGTGTCCTCAACGGACTTTTCGTTCTCGGGCGCAGCATCGGCTTGATTGCTCATTTCCTTGACCAGAAGAGACTGCGGACCGGCCTGTACCGACATCCTTGGGATGACATCACCTACCTACTTCCAACTTTGGGTAAGGGTGGACCGGGTAACGAGGGCAGAGTTGAGGTCAGCTTGTAGAACATCTCAGCATTGCGTCTGCTCTCGCCTATAGAGGCTTAGGTGAGGTGGCCAAAGGCTTGCAATTCACGGCTTGGAGTTTTCAGAGAGAGCTTTTTATTTGTTAGATGGACCAGGTAGTCAGGATGACTGTCCGGCTGTGTCTCTCGACCAGAGCACGGAAGCGTGATTATCAAGAGAGATAATTATCAAATTTATTTCTTATTCGAGAGTTATGTTCTCTTTGGGATCCCGCGAATCCCCCCTAAGTACATCAGTGTCGCTCTATATATCATCAAAACTGGTGTTAACCACAACCCAGCCAGCCTGCTTGATGTACAATTTCCTCACCAAACTTATTCAACATATGGCGTAACATGGCAGCCTCGAAGCCCTTATTCCCGTTCGATGAGTGAGCTGGGTTGAACAACAGACCACAGGTTCTTCCGGACTGTTCCACCCAAATTCCTTCCCTACCTTTCCTTCTCAGTCCGCCGGTTTCGCCCCAAACTCCAACTTCCTTTTGGTGTCATCTACCTTGGGACTCGCCCTCCGCACCGTCACGCTCCCATCCGCCACCCCAAAACGCCTCGGGTCCCGTCCTACCGCTGAAAATGCCCACCTCCAACACCCCTTCGATGGACTTGATCGCGTTGGCCAGGTGTTCGACTTCCCAGATGCCGTCTTTGCCGCGGCCTTCTGATCGGCTGTCGTTGTCTGCGCCGTTATTGCTGACACCGGCGTTGTGCCGTGGGGTGGTGGAGGTAGAGGTGGAGGTGGATTTGCGGTCTGAGGAGGTGAGGAGGCGCGGGAAGGGTGCATCGATGATGAAGAAATCCTGGTCGGTTTTCAGGGGGCTACCGTTAGGGGTGTGGCCTTCTCTTAGATGTGGGGAGGGGGAGCCGAGCTCGCGGAGTCGGACCAGGACTTGTCGGGCGGCGATGGGGGCTACTTCGATGGGGATGGAGGGCCAGGAGGTTAGGAGGCGGGATTGCAGTTTACGCTGGTCTTCAGCGGTGGAATTGTCAGCGGAGGGAGTGGATGGTTGGGAAGGATAGAGTAGAATAGGGAGCTTCCTGACCAGCAACGCATATGAATTTCTTAGATCGCATAGCCACGAGCTTTTCTTGGAACAAACATGCTCCTCCGCCTTTTATGCAGTTGAGATCTTCATCTACTTCGTCTGCGCCGTCAAAGCAGATGTCCAGCACTGCTTCCTCGGGTATGGAGTCGAATTGAACGGCCTTCAACCCGGCATCCAGGATCAATTGGCGGGATTGGTGGCCTGTAGGGACGAAGCAGACGCGGGATACGTCCTGCTCGAGGGCATTGATGGCTTCGACGACATATACAATGGTTGTGCCGGATCCGATGCCGACAAAGCGTGGGTCGGGTGGGAAATTCTCCCTGACTGCTTGGACTGCAGCCGCCCGTTTGGACTCTTCGATGCCGTGCGACATGGTAGAAAGTGGATGGGAGGAGCTGCAGGGGCGTGGAGAATATGTGGACAGAAGGGCAAAGGAGCGAGCGAGGTATTGGATACAAGGCGGATATAATCCAGACCGTCTGGCTGTATATCTACCCAGGTATGTATCGTCATTAACGTTCAATAACTGGGCCGGCGGGGTTATCAGACCTGTGTAATTTGAGATCTGCAAAGACGGTCCTGGTAAGCTTCATGTGGGGGAATGGAAGTTGAATGGGCTCCTCTGCCGGGTCTCTACCGAGCTTGGGTTCCCAGCTGTCACGCTGGCCACTGGGCCGAGCAGTTCATGCCAGTAATACTCCGTAGTGGGGTGGGAAAGATATGCGGGTTGCCGGTGAGGGCCTGCTGGGGAACGCCGAGGTTTAGCCGACGCTGACATAGCTGCCAAGGCCCCTCTGTGGCTTCTCCAATATCTTTTTGGGTACTCCGTATCATACTTACTATAAGGTTTATTAGTTATTACGATTGGGTATCTGGGATATGGGATTAGCGTCCAGTACGCACTCGTCGCCATCGCCTTTCTTCAGGCTGTTCCCTTCGTGCCGACACCATGACGGCTACTGCAACCACTCCACCACTAATCCAAGCTCCAACTGCCAAAGAAAAGAAGTATGATCGTCAGCTTCGGCTTTGGGCTGCCAGCGGTCAGCAAGCTTTGGAGGATAGTCACGTTCTCCTGGTCATAGCGAGCAACGGCGACGATGGCTCTGGATCCAGCGTAGCTGGCGTCGAGACTCTCAAGAACCTCGTTCTGCCGAGTATTGGAAATTTCACGATTGCAGACTCAGCGAAGGTCACAGAAGCCGACCTGGGAATCAACTTCTTCTTGAGATCACAGAGCCTGGGACAATCAAGAGCAGAAGAGTGCAAGCAACTGCTGGAAGAGCTCAACCCTGATGTCCAGGGACATGCAATAACTACAGTGTGTAAAGCCATCTCTGGACTAAATACTTGACTCACCTCGTATCAGCCACTCTCCGACTTGCTCAAGGATCCCTCCCGCCTCCGACCTTATAATCTCATTATCCTTTGTGCCCCTCTTCCCCAAGAACAGCGCCGCATCATCTGTGAGTACGCTCAACAATACTCAGTCTGCCTTATCCACATCCAATCCGCTGGTTTCTACTCCTCCTTCTCCATCCAACTCCCATCAGTCTTCCCCATAGTCGATACACATCCGGACCCAGACTCGATACAGGACCTTAGACTCCTTTCGCCGTGGCCAGAGTTGCTGGCAGAAGTGAAAGCATTAGACGATCTTGATAAGCTGGAAGATCATGATCATGGCCATGTTCCCTACGCTCTAATACTTCTGTACTACCTTGAAAAGTGGAAGCAAAATAATGAAGGCAAAGCACCTGATACATTCAAGGACAAAACACAGTTCAGAGACATGGTCCGGGCAGCAGCAAGAACGGACAATGCAGAAGGTGGAGAAGAAAATTTCGACGAGGCTGCGGCTGCCGTGCTGAAGACCGTTGCCCCTTTCTCGATAAAGAGTGGTTGCAGAGAGATGTTCGAGAAGGACTCATGTAAAGTCATAAATGAGGATTCAGCCAGCTTCTGGATCATCGCCGCCGCAATCAAGACATTCTATGAGACGCATGGTGTTTTGCCTCTTCCAGGGTCATTACCGGATATGAAGGCTAAATCAGCCGATTACATCAAGCTTCAAAATATCTACAAGAGCAAGGCAAGGAAGGATGTTGCAGAAGTGTCTCAATCTGTACGGTCGATGGAGAAGAAGTTTAGCAGGAAAGACGTGATTCCGGATGGCGAGATCGAAGCCTTTTGCAAGAATGCTGCTCACGTCAAAGTATTAGAGGGCAGCCTACTGCCTCAGCTGCGGATCGAGAAAGGGGATATACAGACCAGAAAAACGATGCTGAACGAGCTGCAGAATACTGAGACGCTTCTGCCGATCTTGCTTGCTTTCGAAAATGGCAGTAGATCACAACTGGATGATATGATCGCAAACAATGGCAAGATTGATTTCGAGGCACTGAACAATCAATTTGCAGAGGTTGATCGAGTGGGAGGGCGAGAGCTTCATAATATCTCATCGGTGACAGGCGGAATGGTGGCTCAGGAAGCTATCAAGATCATTACGCGGCAGTATGTCCCGGTGAATAATACTTGCATATTCGATGGGATCGGGGGGACTACGCTTGTGCTCAAGCTGTGATGCATTAGCATGGACTGGTGACTGACACTAAATGTGAATGATTGCATTTAGCAGGACGAAAACAGCATTTGATTGGCTTTAGCGGGCGAGTACTCTGAGCGAAAGTGCTATGCTATTGACCGGGCTCATGATGAAGCATTAAGTATAGAAGCATCCGTCTACTTTGGATGCACCTGACAGGCACAGGGCAAAAGTCTCGACAATTACAAGTCCAGCGTATGTGCAGCACAGAAAGAAAGTCCAGCGTGGTCCTCAGCCATCACTTCTTGCTGATCTCAAGAGACTCTTCGTGGACGATTTTTCTTTCCCTAATGTTTATGAAATCCACATTGCAACGCAGTCAAATCAAGTGAACTGAAGCCAAAGAATGGCAGGACACACCACGCTTCTCCACCATTTCCCTTACTTCCCAGAAGACCCAAAAGCCCCAGCATATATCCAAGAAGCTGACGATTCCATGCGAAATGTTTGACTACTTCTAAATCTCCAGATCATCTATATCGGAGAGGAACCCCGAAAAGGAAACGACCAAATCC